ACACGCTCAAAGCTTCCGCCCACCCATTTCAGCCACACGTGGAGGAATCGCCAAAGCATGCGAGCTGCATTGGTCTGGAACGATCCAGGACGCGCCAGCGCGGCGACCGGGCAGAACCTCATGGGCGGGCATGTGGCATGCAGGTGGGTTCCTACTCCAATCTACTCCACTCCATGACCTTGGACTTCATGAGGTTCTGAAAGATCTCGAATTATTTGCAGCCTTGAGGAGCCTGACATCTCATGACATGAAGGGTTTGTGCAGCATGCACCATCTGGAAGTGTGTCAAATCTTGCTGATCCAGCTAAAGCAGCTAAAGTGGTGCAAAACCCATCAACGGAGGTCCATTGTTTTGGAGACACTTCACGGAATAGATTCACAGAATGGGTGGTACGAGTATTCAATCCTTGTCAACATGATATTTGTCCTACTCATTCCACCTGCTTGGGTGCCATGGTGGGTCAGCTGGTTTAGTTTGGTGCCATTGGGTGTGAACTGACTACGTGTCGCAGTTTGAGTTGCCACGAACCGGTAATTCCAAGTGGATAACAAGCCACCCACCGGGATTTTGAAGAGGCAGGGATTCCAAATCCAATCCACATACCGGGTTCAAACTTCGACTGGGTGGGGATTCTAAGCACATCCACGTGCTCAGAACCCCCACCCGGAGTGTGACGCGGTTTGGGCGCTTTGGGTTTCGTGGGCGCTGAGGTGATCCGAGCTCGAGAGACCTTGGCCAAGAGCGATCAGGCAAAGAGCGACACACCGAATTCATGCCATGAGCCAAACACCAAGTTGACGTCACTGGACTTGCGTTTTGATCTTGGAGAAGGCAGAAGGCAGAAAGCACCTTTCGTGGCATGGTATCTTGGCGACATGTGCCTGGAACTTGATGTGAAGCACTCACTTTTGGCTTGGTGTGGTTGCATCCCTCCGCCAGTTGAGGCAGAGATCCCGCACCTGAGTCCCTAAAGTCTCACGGCAAGGGAGAAAACCTCACTTATAGCCAGTCTAAGCTAGGTCGGGGAGGGTTAACTCATAATATCAGCAGTTGTAAGAGATAACACTTGAGTGTGTCAAAACAGGGAGACTTCCCAGTTACGACCCCCTGGAAGGTTCAGAAAATAGACCAGTCTACCCATTGGTTAAACGGTCTCCCGGATTTAAAATACACACCCACTTGGCTCAGTCACTTGGCAGGTCACTTGGCTCAGTATCTCGGCTCCCGACTGGCGGGACAGATGCGGGCCGGGGTGTTTTCTGCCTGAAAGACATGTGATTCGGATGGGCATGGTGACTTCGGATTGAATAGGAATGAAGAGACTGGCCAGAATCCTTTGATCTGCCAAGTCATTTTGGACTTGACATGGATTGATTGTAGGTGTGGCCAACTGACGCATCCTGTGGCACAGGCAACCGATTGATTCCTACATGAAACAAGGTCATTTGAAGCATGGTAGCAGCTGGTAGCCAGGATTCTTGTACTTTTTCTGGAAGACTTGTTGCGGTTCTTGAAGCACAGCACTTGCCCTTGAAGGATATGCCGATGAACCTGCTTGGTGGAAGTTTCAAGAGGAATGGTCATCCTGATGGGCGATTGTCGGCCCGCAGTGCCTGGACATACCTCTGAGGGTCTAACAGGCAGCTTTGCCAAACACCATTCTGGGGGCGTGGTTGACCTCTCCAATCCATTCGATGATGGCATTGGAAACCTTTTTGGTGGAATTTCGACCGAACTCACAGTGACAACAGAAGCATCAGTCCAAGCGACAACAGAGCACACTGAGGTGTCCAGCTGAAAGTCAATGAGGCGCCTGGGCATGTGGGCAGCATAGAAGGGGCTATGTATTAAGTGCCTCACAATGTGCGGGAATTGCAATCGCATAAGAGTATTTCATTCATATGATTCATATGCTACAATGCTCCAAACCCTGGCAAACGACAGGGAATCACAAACCCGATGAGGGACTCACACATTTGACGATGCAATAGCTGCGCTTAAATAATTTTTGGCCGTTCCTAATATGGGTGTTGTTTTCTTTGTGGGTGAAGGGGGGGTTGCACCAGGGAACTCTAGCAATCTACTGATTCAATGATTCACCTAGAACTGCATCTAGCCCACACATGGGGTTGATTCGAACTTCACTCTTCTCAGGTTGATTCGGAGCCCTGCTTTCCGGTGTCGGAGTGTGAATGCAGCGCCCATGCAACACACATCAAAACAATTCAAAAGGCCACACATCACATCTTAAGACCATTCTTCGTCATCATCGTCAGCAGCAGAACCCAACAGCTCCCTCACCTTCTCCCACGGGCGCCCGCACCAGGATGAGAAGGTGCAGTCGAAGTTGACTTCGCCTCCTAAACTCCGACGGGAGAGTGGCCGCTTCGCTGGAAGGTCGTTAGGTCGTTGTGCAGCCGAGAGGAACGAGAAAGGTCGTTGTGTTACACATAGGTCGCTGTCCTAAAGTTGAGGTTCATTGTAACTGTTTGGAATGAATAGGATCAACTCACCATTTGTCGGCACACGTCCTGGATTTCTCATGGGTCCATATGGGGCCCTGGATTTGCAAGGTATGCGTTGTGAGTTGTCGCCGGCCTCTCAACCCTGCCCTGTGCTCTGTTGGTTTTTGTTGGGCTTCTTAGTACTTCACGGGTTGGGTGGCGCCAGATGAGGCAACATCTTCTCCGCCTTGGTGCAGGCGTGGTTTCGCGCGGTGCCGCCGGTGTCGCAGCGTTGGGTTGACCATGCCGGTGTGGTAGGGGTGGGAGCATGGATGAGCATGGGGGTGCTGGGAGGCGGATGGGAAGAGGATAATGGAGTTCCAAAAGGCAAGAGAGCAGCTGCATCAACTGCATCAACTGCATGCTTGATTGAAGATTCCTCTTGCTTCTTTGAAGTCTTATAGCAGACTTCCTCATCCCATCCGACCCGTCCGAACAAAAACCGACGCTTCGGCACCGCTGAGAACAACGCTTCAGGAGCTCCGAGAGCAGCTGGTGGAGCAGTTGAGACATCACATCGCCCTGGTGAACGACGCCGAGTGGGGCGTGGTGCAGCGGTGGATCATCAAAGAGAAGACCAAGGAGACGGGCATCCGAAGAGACAGACCATGTTGATGTTGATGTCTCCACTAGGTGAGGCACTTCAAAGACGGAGGCTCTCAAGACTCAATGACTCAAGGATAACGTATGATATAGTGTGATGAATGTGGATAGTGTTATAGATTGATATATATATATATATATAGTATATTTAGTTTCTACACTCCAAGAATTTGTTACAAGTCGCTTCGGAAATTGGTTGACTCGTTCACGCTTTTCGGGGTCTGGGAAGTGTCAATGGAGCAGTGGAGGATTGTCACAACCTGCACAGATGAAGAATAGAGCAAATCCTGATGAATTGATTGCCTCGCTAGGGTGGTAAGCGTGGTACTAGAACACATTTTTTTCACGTGTGCCTTGGCTGCCTTGACTTTGTCTTTTCATTCTGGCCTGGTCAGTTGGTGAATAGTCCATGACTTGCTTCATACGACTGATCCTGCCCGATGTGCGGAGGATGTGAGGAAGGCAGAAGCGAGGGATGAGGCCGATGCACCACGAGGAATGATTTTTTTTGTTTGCTGGACTTGTGCCTGTGTCCGAAAACTAGGACGGCCTTGAAATGACCTTGTGAACCAAAGACGCTTTCTGGTAAGCTCACTCCGTGCAGAATCTTTCCCTCATTCGAACAGACACAGCCGACCGACAGTGGCGAACTTCTTCAGCGCGAAAAAACTCGCCTGATCCACGAGAGCAGCAGCGCTCAGTGGACTAAATACATGGACGCTATGAGACACCATGAACCTTCACGTTCCACCATTCTTCCCAAGCCAATCCCGTGGAATCCCATAGGATAAACCAGCAGAGGTTCCGAGGTTGTGCATGTGAGGAGTTAGGGCATGCTTTAACCTACCAGCTCCATCTCTTATGCCAAGAAAGTAGCTTTAACATATGCGCCCCTCATGTTTGCAGAAGACCGGTGTATACTCCTGTGGATTTCTGTGGGGAAAAAGGTGATGGTAGGTGCCATTCCAGATCGTCCGTCAGGCTGCCGCGTGGCAGTTGGAATGCGCCAAGCGCAAGTTGCAACAATCGCCGGCCTTGGCCGCCACTCGTCACTGGGGGCGGTTGGCGGTTGGCTCGCACTTCTGGAGCTTCATTCCCTTCTGCCAATTGAGACTGGCACAGGATCCACTGAGACTGGCTCCCAAATGGCATAAGTCCATACTATTAGAGCAGAGTATCCTGGCGCTCTGTTTGGGCAGGTTTTGATCCAATAGACGAAGCCGCTCCCAATACCCTCTTTAGTGACTTAGCTTTCGAGCCACAGCGAAGCCAGGCCAAGATAGCAACATGTTTCGTTGTGTTTCGTTGGAGGCACAAGGCCATGAAGATGTCCATGATACACGGAAATACTGCTGTAGCAGTAGTAGGCTTATGAATTTTGCATGGCAACATCCTGAGCAATTTGAGCATTCAATGGCCATCTGTGAACGATCTTCTCAGTAGCTCCACAGTCTGGCTGTAAGCCTCAGGATTTAAATCCAAAGGATCACTCTTTTGATTCTTATGGCCATGTGTGGCTGTGCTGTCTGGCTGTGCTGAGGCTCTCTTTCAACAGCTCTACATTACCAGCTTGGCCTTGAGTGTCGAGAAGACCGCCACCACCTTAGCCCAGATGTTCGCGGACACCTCCCACTTGATGTCGGGATGCACAGAGATGTTTTGGGCGAACGGTCGCCGAGTTATGATGACAGATGCATGTCAAAAGAAGGCACTATGACTATCTAAGAGTACAGTATCTAGTTACTGCACAAACTATGGTGTGTTCTCTCTTTCTTTAGTATGATTAGCGTTGTTTTTCTGGCTGACCGTTACTATCTTCACTGTTCGCTTAAAATCTGGTGTTGTTTCCAGCAGCCAAGTAAGCCTGTGACTTTCTTGATTCTTGCCATGTCCTTTGTCTTCCCCACAATGGGCGAGGAGACGAAACATCTGACTCATTGGTTGGAGACATGGGATTTGATAGACCTCGCTGATGAAGGGGAAAAGCAGCATGTTACCTTTGTCAGTCGTGCGGCAGGTTTGCGGGTCAACTTCAGAGGGAATAGGGTTGTCCACAAGTGTATCTGGACTGTGCTACGAGTATCTGCGAGTGACAAGCCACAGACAGAAGTGCTGAGCTTTGAACAGTCTCACTTACCTAAAATCTGGATTTCCTTGAATCTTCATGCAATCAAGAGCTTGTTTTGACCAACGTAGTAGTGGCATGTAGTGACATCTCGCCAGGATCCGCATCATGGCTATGCCTGTGGCAGATGATGCCACAGGCTGCAGTGGGTCTGTGGTCGGTCTTTTGGAAGACCTCAGAGGTCTGCAGAGGCAACACATCCCACATCCAAAAGCATCCGAAACCATCCACCTGCCCATCCGGCAAACTGAAAGCTGCCGGCCCCATATTTATCGGGAGGCAACCAATAAATGTTGGTAGATGTCGTACATTGGACAGAAGCCTCTTGTAAACAAAGTCTGCCATGATCTCCAAGTGCTGCAGATGTTTTGGCGGCTGAAGAAGACTCAGATACGACAGACGTTCACACTGCCAAGATGAAAAGCTGCTCAAATTTATCTGAATAGAATGGCTCTTGTTGCAGTTGATTCAGATGACTGAGTGATTGCAGCTTCTTTCTTCCTCTTCTTTCACCTCGCTTTGCACGAAACATCATGGAACAGGGGTCAACGCTTCCAACGCTTCCTTTGCAGGTGAAGCCAAGCTGGCCACCAGTCCCAACCATTCGGATGTCCAGGCGACTGGGGACCACGGGTCGGTCTGGGGACCGAAGTGGTCGAGATGTTCGGAGCGATTCGTGGCAGTTCGGGGTCGGAGCGGTTCGAAAGAACAGGTCGCCGGAACTTGGGGAGTTCCCCAAGCCCCTAGCTGCTAGCTGCTAGGTTTCACTCATGTCGACTCATGTCGACTCGATGTTGATCCATCTCCACATGCCCAAGATCATGACATCATCTAGCAATATTCTTGTCCATCTAGCATCCACAAAGACCGCAAAATGACCAGAATATGAAGACAAGGACTTTCCTCCTCAAGCTGGTCAAATGTTTGATGATGTTCTTGTTGCTCTTTATCTATACATCAATTTGTGCTTGATTATTTGACCCCACAGCATCAACTAGTCAGTAACGACGCTAGCAGGCCCATCTCAACGCCTTGCTCGACGGCGTGGTGGCTGCCGCCGGGCGCGCGCCCATTGTGTGGCTGGGGTACCCAGGGTGTTGGCATTCAGGGGTGCTAGAATTGGGACTCTGTCTTGAGAGTGTACATGAAGAAAGGGTCAAACTAGATGGATTGATTTTGGGCGGTTTTCCAAAACCGGGGAGCCGACTTCAATTCCTCACAGGGGTCCTCCAGCTGTTACAACCACCCAAGCACCCCAAGCCATCTCACACGCTGACAGTGCTGTATTTGCTCACCTAGGCAGCCTGGCAGACCTAGTGATGAGGCGAGGGAAGTGTGGTGACGACCTGGGTATAGGTCAGCTGTAAAAGCAAAAGCGACTTCAAACTGTTGGAGGGACCGTGGGAAAGCCTATTAGATTGAAAAAAAATGATTCCCATGACTTCGGGGGCGCTCACTTCAGATCCTCCCTTGTAGGATCTTAAACAACTTCAGTCAATTCCTCCAAAGGTTCACCTTTAGGCGATGTGACCAGCCACAGGGTAGACCACCAGCGCTCAGCAAGGGCGGTGGTGTTTTGATTAAAAGCAAAGCACTCACTGGTTTTCTTCCACAAAGACTTCGGGTTCCCCAAGATCCCATGTTTCACAGGTGGTTGTGGAAGACATGATTGCGGAGATCATGGAACAGCGAGAGAAGGAGGATAAATGTCCGAGCCCCGAAGAAGTGTCCAAACCTGCCGGACGCGTGCGGCTTTCCGCGGCCACACAAAAAAGAAGAATGACCACACAACACGGAGAGAGTAGGAATGGGTATAGGAGATTATAGGAGCTTTTTGGTGGCTTTTGAGATCCATCTACTTGACTGTTCTATGCAACTGTGAGTTCTGAACTTCTTGCGTGAGATGAGAGATCTTCTCCACATTGAACACCTCTTCTCCACGACCCAAAAGCTACCTCCACTTTCGCGCTCCCAGATGCCTCCGCGGCGTTGCAACGATCCTTGGCGAAAAGCCCCAGCTACCGCGCGGCAGCGGCTCGGAGAGGAAGGGAGTGGGCGGCGGAGCCAGGTCGACCAAGGCCGCTTCGTTGGACTGAAAAAGAGGGGAACTTGAAGCCAAATGGGGAAGGCAGTTAATCAAAATGAAGGACTCGCAGGAAAATACAAGGATCCTTGGATTTTTGTTGCACAGATTTGGGGGGAGCTTAAGGCGGTCCTATAGGTTTCCTGGGTTGGATAGAACTGTGCATATCCGGTGCAGTGCACTTTTTTAACAGCCACTGAGAGAAACCACTGAAGAGTTCATGACAAGCATATGTTGACTTCTTTGGAGCTCAGCTCCACAACAAGTACTCATGGATGCAATACACCCGTTGCTCCACAGTTTTCATGGCAACAAGTACTAAGTACTATTTCTAGGTGATGGTTTCGGATATGTTTATTTTCAACCCTTACTTGGGGATGATTGGGCCCTCTGACCAATATTGTTCAAGTGGGCTGAAAACACCAACCAGACTCTGACCAATATTGTTCAAGTGGGCTGAAACACCAACCAGAATTAAGTAACAGTAGTAACAGTAGTAGTAACAAGTATTTTCAGTGGTCAACCTTGCGGGTCGCGCCATGGACGGTCGACCGACCGTCCTCGGGCGGTCGATCGTCCTTTCGCTGAGGTCAGCGACTTGGATGCTCAGTTGCGGCGTAGCTTTCATCTCGTGGAGCGGAGGCGACGTGGCCGACGTGGCCGACGAGGGTCTCAAGACCTGAACGCTGGTTTCATGACATATATGAATGATGCCGTCCTAGGACTCAAAGGACTCAAAGGACTTTGACACTTCATTCACTTCATTTCCATCTTGGAGAAGGGCACAGGATTTTTAGATGACTTTTAGGTATTTTCCACCGCCATCTCTTCAAACATCATTTTGGCAGGTTGCAGGCGGTTCAGCGGCAACTGGATCCCATGCTCTTGGGGCAGTCCGCCATACTGAGCAGGCTCTATCTGGACCGCCAAGGTGGGGAAGGGTGTTGACTCGCTACGTGAGGGCCCGGTTGAAAGGGGAAGGCTTTAGCGCAAGCACATAGAAGCAGCTTCATACGCTTCATGGATGGTACGCAGGAGGCTAGATGCTTGGCCGGTTGCATTCCATTTGCTTTCAATAGTGGCAGATCAAAGAGAGAACCGGCCACACTGAAATATGTGTTGGCTACTTGAAAGAGTCAAGGAGAAATCCTCACATTGTGAAGCATTCCAATAAACTTCCATTAACGCCATAAGAGCTACGAACTCCAGACATGTAAGACTAAGACTGGTATGAATCAAGCAAGATCCACCCTCCAGGCCTCTTCCAGCAGATCCAATCAGTGGCCGTCCCTTTGGAGGGCGACGCTGCCACAGGGCACGTGCCTGCGGAGTGTGCCGCGGCTATCACTGACACTTGTGGAGCCGGGGCTTGGAACACCATTCAGAATCCATGTGCCGTTCCTCCTAGTTCCTACAATATGGTGGAACATGGTGGAACCGTCAAGTGGTTGAAGTGGTCTTGTTGATCCAAAATTTCTGTAACCCTCCTGAAAAGTAAGTGGCGTTGACGATGTGTTCTCTTCTTTCAATCAGGGTGTGTGTTGGACAAAGTCTTGCGAGGCATAGGCCTTTGAGTTCATTGGACCATGCAAACAGCTTTCAACTTCTTCCAACCAATCCTTTTCTGCGACTCCGCGCTCTCTCCGACCGCACGAGGTCAACGAGACTTCACGCCTTTAAACTCTCCGTTCCTCGCGGATTTCACCATGTTTTGGCTCTCCAGGCGCTGGACGGGGGCGGCCAGCGATGGATCTGGGGGAAAGCTGAATGGAATGTTTGTGGTGGAAGTGGAAGTCGGAGATGTGATATGCATGAAATGTTCAACATGGTTCAACAACGTCTTGGCCCAGAGTCAATGTCAATGATGTTTTCACAACGTTGGATGGACATTGGCTCAAGCACTTGTTTGTACTTCTCTACTTGTTGCCTTGCTTGAGCAGACGTGAAAGTGAAAGCTTCTTCCCAATCAAGTAGACGATAAGTAGACACTATTTTGGGGGGATGGGTCTTTTGAAAAGAAGTTCCTGCCATCTACAAATGTATTGGGCAGCATGCAGCATGTATGTTGTTTTCGCATGTTTTCGCAAAACCCGAGCTTTGACTGCATTACGCCTTGGAGAGGCCGCAACAGATGGCACGACAACAGCTGCCTGAGAAGATCTCAGTGCTTTTGATGAACCTCTTCTACTCCTTGGCGAAGGTGTGTGGTTCACTGGCAGAGCGATGATCAGTGATTGTTCATAGGCAGACTAGGATCATTTTGCCAAGAACTGTGACAAGGATTCATCAAGAAGCTGAAGAGGTGGTCCTAAAGAAACAACATGTCAAGTTAGATGTTCAGGTCCTTGTCAATAACTTACGTGCCTTCAGTTTCCAGGTTTCTATTCAGAACTTTCGGAGTGTGCATTTGGAGTGTGAGACCGCGGCGTTCGTTTCCGTGTGGCAGGTCATTGTGAGCTCCAAAGTCAACTTGCAAGTGGCTCCCCTGCCGCCAGCGACCTGGATGCAGCATCGAAACAGCATGGTGCAGACATGAAAGAAAACAAGATATGACCACCATGTCCAAATGTATACAATGCACATGGAGAGGTTGGATCCAAGTTTGGACGTTCCGAGACCTCCTGGTGATTTCTTGTTGCGTGTGTTTTTGGGGATTGGGGACGAATAACATTTGCATGCCATTGCTGCCGGGCCAGAGAGGTTCCAAGCGTTCCCGGTCGGTTCACTTGAAATAGAAAGAAACATGCCACCCTATTGACAGGCAAGGGGCTGGACAAATGCTAGCTTGTGAGTGCTGCATACCTCTCATGGGGCAGTTGCGCCCTCCAGGATGAACACTAGATAACCATCCTTTGGCCTTCAACCTAGAAGCGATGGCCTCCAAACTAAGAGAGCAATGGCCTCCTAACACTCCTTTGTTTTTATGTTTCCGGAATGCTTTTAGGACTAGATTTCTTCAAGCGCCAGGTGAATGAAGATGTCCTGTTGCCAAGCAAGTCATCACCGATGCATCAACTCTACGTTATCTAGAACTAAAACGAATTCAAGACCCTCTAGCGGTTGAGGCTAACCCTTGGGAACTGCTTTTCTTCGTGTTTGGAAGGCGTCGTGGCCACTGGAAGAGTCGTCCACCAAAGCCGGAGCAACACCCGCTTGGTCTCGCCTCCCTAGGACTTGGCCGCCTGTTTGTCGCCGGATGCCTATGGCCGCAGGGCAGACTCGGTCTGGGGCCTCGGAGATGAGGTGAAGAGTGGGAAAAGGAAGATCAAAGCTACTACTTGTAGTAACAAGTGCATGGCCACGAACGTAACAAGGGCATCTCATTAAGCCTTTGTAGGTCACTGCAACAGCAGAATCTTCAGAGTCTCCGCCTTATCCTCCTTAGGTTGGACCACAAGATGCTTTGTAGGAAGGGTCAATGATCGCCATGATTGATTCTGTGTGTTGGTTGGTTGTTATTTTTTGGGGGAATAGTCAGGCATGAAGCGTAGGGGAGATGTCACATTGATCGATACAAAGGTTCTGGCAAGTGCGTTGCCATGAATCAGTTGAGCACACCTCATAGGGGCAACCAAATTCTAGCGGCTTGCAGTTCAACATGGAGAGAAGCCAGAACCTCAATGATTGACTTCATACCTGGCAGTTGAGCTCATCTTGAATTTCAGAACAGTCACTCTCTCTGCACCATGCTCATCAAAGTCCTACACTACCTCCTTTGGGGCTTCGATTGGACATCGCCGCTTTGGATGTATAGTCATACTGGAGCAGATAGAATATGGCTTAATAATGATTCATGTTCATAATTCATGCAGGAGACGCTTGTCAAGTGTTTCTCTTCTTCTTTCCGAACACCAAGACGTTCGACACGACACGATGTCGTTCGACCATGGCTTGCGCTCGCTGGCCGAGGCCTTGGCCACGATCATCGCCGAGGCGGTGGAGGGCCGCAGCGCGGGCTGCGCGGCGCTCCATACGGCCTTGGCCTTGTTGGTGGATGGCCGCTTGGGAACAGATCCCGACGGAGGGGAGCTTGATCGTAACCGAAGCGGGAAGGAAGACGGGGGAAGGATGGTGGGGAAACCACCAGACTTGAAGAGAGGATGTATAATATGTTTTAGATGGTCGAAAGACATGGAAGATTTAGATATGATATAGATATAGGAGCACAACAACACAAGAATTTGCAAGAAGTCATTCTGAGGTTTGAAGATTAACTATGCACACTCTTTTGCTTTTGACGCCGCAACTGCACTATAGGCTCCGGCAGCTTCTTGGAGCTGTTGCGACCGCAGCAGCTGCTTCGGCCGGAGCTCTTTCTGCGCACGGTTCAGGGGACACAGTACGAGTTGAGCTGCTCGGAATGTTACTTTAGAGTTCTGGCTGTGGAAACTTGAAAGAGTATTTGTTTGCTCACATGTTCTAGCTGCTCACGTGGTTCTCCTACGTGTCGCCCAGGTTTGGTAGAGGGTCTTTGCGAATGGCTAGCCGATCTCCAACGTGTGTGCGAGCAGTGGGAGCCACCCGAGCTGCATAATCAATGTGTGGGAGGGAACGCGATGGGCTGGCTGGCCCTTTGGGCGTTTCACTGTTTGGGATGGCACGGACCCAAGAGTTACCCGTTAGTGGAAGAGTCGGCAGGTGTTGAGATTGCCTGCCTGATTTCGTTTGCATTGGGTTCTTTGGGTTAGTTATACCTACTATATAGACTATAGAGCCTATAGAGACTCTATTCTAGCAGCACTTGGTGAACCATTATGTTAATATTTGTCCGGCGTTCCTATAATCCTCCGTAGTGATGTCCTGCCTTCACTTGGGCCAGATCGATGGAAGAGAGGCGAAGGCGTGAAAAAGACGATGCATCTCTTCACGGCTGGTCACCATGTTGTGCGTTGGTTCAAGCAATTGACCGACTTCAAATTCATCACCATAGCAAGTCACTCCGCTACTGGACATAGTGTATTGTAGTGTTTAAAAAGCACCCTCCACATCCTTGAATCAGTCAGCACCTTGCGCCTCAGCTTTGCTTTTCTGTCACATTCCAGCAAGGCGAAGTTCACCCAAGAAACCTGATGCTCGACGTTTCAAGCCTCAAGATAAAGGACATCATCTCATTTCTATCCGCACCACAGCGACCGACCTGGAGTGTTTTCTTCTCCACCCACCCACCCACCCGTCGCGACTGACCAGGCTTTATGTTCCTTCATTCGTTCCAAGATCCCCAGGCAAGTGGTGCAGAACATGAGGGCCTTGTCCCAGTGCGGTCCTTTCGCCTTGGACGTGAGGCCTCCCGTTGTCCGCCGTGAAAACGGCGGGTGGGGTGCATCTCGGTCGGTGTCGCTGGTCCCGTTCGTTCCGGCCGCAAAGCGATGCCGAAGGCTTCCTGGAGCCCAAACAGTAGAAAACAGTGAAGCTACTGCATATTATACCGTTGTTGTGGTGAAAAAGCACGTGTTGGAAAAACACATTCTATATCATTCTATATAGAATATCTTTTATCTCGGTTTTTAGATCAAGATACGGTAGACTACAGGTTGGTCTGACAGGCAGTGAATTCTCCTGTGCTGTGCCTTGAACTTGAGAGCGACCTGTGACCTGCCGGAAACCGGGCAGCGCCCTCCTGTCCGAGGCACCAAGACAGCAATGGAAACCGCCGCCCCGAACCCCATCCAGCTGGGCCCAGCATCACTCCGGCGAGGTATTTCTCCTTCATCGCCGAGCAAACCAGCCCAGCGTTGTTGAGCCTCTCCGTCTATGCCACCAACATCTATGGTGTTCCTGGGCGGAAGACTGGAGCAGGCCACTATGCATAGCATAAGATTAGGCTAGCTGTGAAAGTGGGTCTGGGTGTGCATTATTGTGCACTTACTGAGGTTGATTGAAATCGAGCCGCATCTAAATCATTGAAAAATCCAAAGATCTTAAAATGTGATGTTAGGCCTTGGGTTGGCTTCTGGCCCAGCGGAGGGACAAGCAACATGCAGTGGTCAACCTGTTCATCCTACGCTCCTGACGTCTCACAATGTGTTGTTCTTTTTGAAGGGAGAGGACAGAACATCTTGAACTACCCAACTTTGGTGCTCCTCCGCAAACGATTGGTTCACGGCCTTTGGTCATGCGGTTTGCTCTTTGCTTTTTGGAGGTTCAACCATGAGGATGGACCCTCAGTTTCAATTAATCACTGAAATTAATCACAAAACCATCCAAAACTCAGGCCCAATCTCCGAAACTTCAAAGGGACAGACAACTTTGAGCATGTCTCTCAGGCATCAATCTACTGCTTGGCCTAAATACCCGTCAGTGAGTACGCTGAGTTCCATAGCACTCGCTGTGTACTTTCTGCACTGAAAGCAGTGTCGATAGCAGGGATCCCAGTTTCAGTAGTTGGCAGCTAGCAGTTGAGATGAGACATGATGGGACAATTTATCCAACAAAAATCCGGCCCCAGATGGGTCCACTGGGTGGGTCACCCATTCAAGGGTGCTCTGAGCCCTGTGGAAAGAACGGTCGATGATTTGATGTCTCGACCGTGCTCGAGGTGAACTGTGGGAGGCGCCTATGGAAGGACTGGCAACGTCACTGTGTCCAAACGTCTGGTCTGCGCCAAGCGAGGCTTCGAGACTTCTAGAAGATGTGAAGCGCTTGATTCCCATAGAATTGGAACCAATATGGACAGGATAAGGGGGGAGGAATTATAGCTGTTGAGAGATATTAAGAGAGCAAGTACAAGTGGCTTTATACTCTTTAAGTACATGTCTTGTTGGCAGTGATAAACTCTCTCGGCATCTCAAGCAACACAGATTTTGTGCCGTTCTTGTTCTCACGCTCCGGGTGAGAAATGTGGGTGGAAGAAATCCTGTTCCACCAGACAAGATACATTCTATATTCACCCAAGCACTCATAGCTCATGTGCAGCTCGAAGGACATCTACGAGTTGGTGCTTCGCGTGCAAAAGCCCGTGGAGACCTTCGAAGACATGGTCAGTGAGCTGGAGACCGGGCACGTTCTTTCCGCGCGCCATGGCTCGTTCCCGCGTTGACTGTCGTGGGCTTTGGGACTTTAAACCAAAATCACTGAGACCATCCTTGTATGGAATAGTCTGAATAGTTATACCGTTATACCTATAAGTGACCTACATGGATGGGCCATTTTCATTGGGTATAACTATTCCAGTCCCATTTGTTTGGTCTGGGTCATGCTGAGCATTGGATGGATTTCTGTGACGGACCGAAGGGTGAATGAAATCAACTCACAGGAGTTGCTGAGCAATGTCTACGAGAACATCAACGTGTTCCGCAGCGAGCGACAGCAATTGCCACCTGTCTGAGGTGCATGCTCTTACTGGCAGGATATATGTATAAACTGAAGTTCCTGCAGCAAATCTGAGCCAATGACATGTTTCAAGAGATATACACCACTATCTATATCAGTTGTGCCTCTTACAAACGTGTTTGAAAGTTCTTGTGGCAGCCTGCTTTGCGGTTTCCTCACACAGATGATGGAACACCGTGTCGCTGCATTCCATGTTCTGGCCATGGGCAAAAACTGCCATGAACGTTGAGCTATACAGAGGTTCATTTGGAAGTGATTTTTTGGGTCGAAGGCTCGTGGGGATGCGAACTGCTTGGTTCCGAGTCAAAAGCATCTTTATGGTTGACCCTTCTTCTCATTCTGAAGATCTTCACCAGTCGATTCACTCGCCCAAATTGGGGGAAAAGAACAAAGAACCATGCCTGAAAACTAGAAAGTCCAATATTTCGGAGCAGATTCCGATGTTCCTTGATGTTCCTTGTGCTCCACGCAGTCAAGGGGAATGACGAAGGTGAACTATGCTGCCTCTCAGGTTTACCTTTTACCTTTTAACATTTATATAATAACCACGAAAAGTCACGAGTCACAGTCACACTTTTTGGTCCTCGTACTCTTGCTTGCACCACTTGCCCCTGCATTTTGCCACGTAATTTTTTTGACACCAAAGAACCACCCGAGGACGCCGCCCGTCGCTCTTCGCACCGAGGACGCCGCTCATCGCCGCCTTGGCGTCCGTGACGCGGAGCCACCTCTTCACCCAGCGCTTGCCCGACGTGCGCGCAGGCGCCTGCGGAGGGGGGGCCGGGCGTGCAGGTGAGTTGAGAAAGAATCCCCACTCCACTGTGGTGGAGTGGGAAGTGAGGGAAGGGAGGTGCAAGTGATTCATTCTTAGTAGACAAGAATAGCTATGTGATGCTGTATGATTGTATGATGCTAGTTATGATGCTATATGTCTAAGGAGTCCAGTAGTGGAGAACGCCTGAAATTTTCTACTGTCTAGTGCATACACTTTCTTACTCGTTGACAAGGTGCAGCTGAGGTTTGCGCAGGTCAAATGAGTGAGTGCGGTAATTGTTGGAATGGGAGATGATGACGATGGAAAGAGTGAAGATGTTCATCGAAGACCCTGAAAAGCAGTGGTGTATAGCGGTGCGTTTTTTTTCAATGGTTATTTAGCATTTTCTGGCGACCAAGAACATCCGAACGGTTTGTTTCACTCCCCTACTCCAAGAATCATGGATTCCAGATGGAGAATCGACTCAGCATGGATTTGAAAAGTAATTTTCAGAGAATCTTTCCAACCATTCGATATACAACTAACATCAATTAACACATCTTTATAAAGGATAAGAATCTTCCAAGAACTCTGCTTTCATTGCCATCTTGGTTCACCCCAAAGTCTGGCTTTCTTTACCCAGTCCTATAGCATGTCCCCAGTTCCTACCCCCACGCATGCTGGTGAGCAAAAAGAAGCCGAGGCCGAAGCATCTCGGTGGAAGAGATGCCGGAGCGCTTCATGTTAGGCTTCCAGGAGCGAACGGAGCGCGGAGCGAGCTGGAGAGCGTTGGAGCACCTCCAAGCGTCGATGAGAGCGTTGGACAATGACTGAGAGGGGTATTAGGAAAGCTATAGGTGGATGTCTCAGTCAGGGAGTGCCATTCATTGTGAAGCCCTCATGGTTCCCCCCCCTCTCCCTCTTTTTTTTCTCTCTCTCTCTCTCTATCCGTTCATCATGTTTCTAAGGATTCTTGATCATTCATGTTGTCTTATGCATTGACGGTCCTTCTTCTCGTGTGTTTCGTGGGGTGCAAAAGAAGGCTCTGAAACGGTGTTCGTTCACCGCAGCGAACTGCAGGAGCAAGCAGAGCACGACGAGAAACCGTCCGAAGAGAGCCGCTGGTTCGGACATGGGTCCGTGTCAAGACTGATGTAGGGTTGGCGGCATAGCGGAACACATGGGCTGGTGAATGTCCACGTGTTTATGTTTAGGGTAAAGCCAAAAGACAAATAATCCTTACTATGTTACAACAAACGTTTGGCACTGCAGTTGGTCAAAGCACTTTCCAATCAAGGCCTTAGCCATCCAGAGATCGTACAGTGTCAGTGTTAGTTGACCACAGTGTACCTTCAGGCAAGGGCCTTCCCTGTTGCCAAAAAGATGTGTTGCAAAATCCTACACATAGACAATATAATGAGCTCAAACAATTGAAGTTTCCGGTTGCATTTGTTGGATATTCTCCGCAGATGTGTGGAAATGTCCATCAACTTGGAAGATGACAGGAAAATGTTCATCTAAGGACCGTGCACTGCCGTGCACCATGTCTGCCCTTCTCATCAATAAAACCAGCCAAAAGAGATCCAAAAGGCTGAAATGTAGCACAGTTGGAAGATCTAGCTATCCCTAAGGATGCACATATCCTCCGAGGTACGGTGATTGGAGACCCTTGTATGTAGGCTTGGAGGGTCCAATCACCGTACCTCAGAAGGTATGTGGATCCTTAGGGCCGGACTTGTATGCCAGTGGGCTTGGTATGTTCGCCAGCTTCGAAACCGGTCTGTCTCGGTGGTGGTGAACATGGCGAGGCGAAGAAGCCCAGAGCGACGCTCAAGCGGCGCGCCGGGAGCAGGGACGTGCACACGGTGTGGGGCCACGTGGCTGACCATTTGGGGGGACGGATAGGGGCCTGGTAGGCTGGGTATAGTAGGTGGATGTAGCTGGGAGTGGTGGCATCATCGTGTTTTTTTTTTTACATTGGTGTTCCTGTTGCAGTGTTCCATGTGTTTGCTTGGAACACGACCATGTTGATGATTCTCGTTTGCTGACGAGTTGAACTCATCTTAGTGTCAAAGAGAGCATGCACAGTCGCGGCCAGACATGAGTGTACTGAGGCATGCCTATGGCGGCTTGTCCACAGGGACCATGCAGTTCCTTTGTTTGAAGACGGACGATGTCTTCCAGGAGTTGCAAGAGAGCTTGGACCAGGCCGCGGTGAAGCCTATGGCGACACTTACCATTCCCACAAGGGGATTTGGGACTTGGCTTGTTGGGACAGAGCAAATCCATCAAGAAAGTGGTGTTTGAGATCAAAGTTGAGCAAAGTTCAAAGACCACATGTTGCGGTCTTTTTCAATCGGTTTGTCTATTGGTAGATCCTGTTTCTGAGTGGCCGAGCAGCCCCATACACCCACCGACCGTCGACCGCCCCGGCGACTCGGACGAGACGGTCGAGACGGTCTCCCAAACAGACTTGAACAACAGATCCTTCAAAGGATGTGACACAGTCAACAAAAATGGCCATCCATATCTGCCGTTTCATCCCAAAATGGTTGAAGTTGCATGGACAAATCTTCACCATTCCCGCCATTCGCCGCTGACTGCCCGGTCGCAGGTCCTCCGGACCTTACCTGCGCGCTCAGGGCCATTTCAGGTCGGGTGGTCAAGAAAAGAATCTAAACTTCCAAACAAGCTTGAACAAAGAATAATTAGTGTTTCTTTACATTTTTGTGCACGGATTTTAGCATGCGAAACAAAATAGCACTTGGCCACCATGTTATTCATAGACTTGGCACTTTTTGTTTAGCTTTAGTGTAATGTATATTCATAGACTGGTTTGTACGAGACGGCGTCTATGTCTGAGATTGTCTGGGATTTGTGCCAGGAGATGGTGCGAGAGGAGTCCTTGGCAGTGGCGGAGGCGGCCCAAGTCAGTCACGCGCCGGTGCGGTGGTTCTTTTTCGACGCACGACGGGAATGTCGAATGTCGCATCGAAAGAAGGGATTACTTGGAGGGTCCACAAGTTTGAAGTGTGTTTTTTGTTTGTTGTTTCCGGAGTTTGGGTGTTTCCAACAAGTTCTATAGAGGTCTCAAAGCTGAATCTGTCAGGGCAAGATGGATTACGATGATGGTACCAATTTAATGCGCCCACATGGTGACCGTCTTGTCCCCAAGTAGTTGGTGTTGGTTACTTTAGTGTCTCAACCTCCCCCCAACCGCAGGGGGATGAAGATGGTAAAGATTGAAATACAACTTGGCCACCTGTGGTAAGGTATTGCGCAGTGTGTGTGTGTGCTTGGAGGTGGCAGTTGCCATTTCCTGTCTTTTCCTTCCACATGAAAGTCATGCTTTCTTTGGCTATGTAGGCAGCAGCGGCCACGCGACAAGAGCTGGAGGAGAGGGTGTGGGATGGCAGAATAGAAAGCTTTCAGCGTGGGTTTGGGCTTGAAGTGGATGCGGGCGTGCACATTAAAAGAACAAGTCAACCAGTGTTTAGTGTGAACATGTTTGAACTGCCACTGTTCTATAAATGCACTGACCTGTTTTGGAAAAAAGGAATCGACTAGGGTCACTATAATCTATATATATATATTATATAGAAGGTCTCCAGATGGTGTTCACCTCTTGGCTGGATTCTTCCACATGGAACCAGATTGGTCATCACATGAGGTGCTGAAGCCCTTCTCAATCGACACATGCCGAATGTGTTTGGGTGAAGAGCCTCAACCACCCCCTAAAAATCACAGAACCAGCTGACAACACGTAGTCCATTTGTGTCTTTTTAGCCTCGATGGATGTTGGTGTCCAAAGCAGTGTAGGAAGACTGTTTCATACTGTTTCATCATCCCAAACTGTCTTTCCCAAGACTGTTTCATCATCCAAACGGTTTCATCACTCAAACGATTTGTTCATTCTATTTCCAAGACTGTTTCATCAATGTTTCATCCACCCGTTTTGTGCGTTCCTACTACGCTCGCTGCAGCAACTCGCATTAAAACCAGGAGCAGCTCGCTCCCAGCGGTGCGCTGGCCATCGATGCACGCTGTAGCCTCACGCGCGTAGGCATCCAGAGATCAATGGAACTCAGTCTTTTGGTGTGGCTTCTGGTGATGAATGCTCGGATATAGCTTGGATCACGTATGTCTTTGTGTGTGTGTGTCTTATGTGTAAGTTGTGCTCTGCTTGAAAGGTTTGGCATCTTAATGCATCTTGTCATCACCTTTTCACTGGAACCCAAAAACATGTCCCACTTCTGGTATGTCAGAGATCAGCTTCGCAAACTCCTTGGCCTCAGATTTTGTCGTCTTATCTCGGCAGGTGCCAACGATATGGGCGCAGAGGACAAGGAACAGCAAAACTCCCATCGGACGACCAAGGAGGCACGCGACGCTGTCGCGCGCGATGCGTGAGTCGACGCGTCGCGCGCGAGTCGCGCGCGAAAAAGAAGCGCGTGAGTCGCTGGAAGTGGCAGTGGCAGCAGTGGCATTGGTGCCAATTCAGTGCGGAATGGCCATCAAAATTGCGGATATGTTCTTCAGAAGCAGCGACACACCTGCCTGGAACACTACCCTCAAGCTCTAGTTGGGTTCAGAGTTCCGTCTTCACGATTCCGTTCGGAGCCTGTCCCAATTTTTTGGCATGATGTGGAAGACATCCGGAGAAAGAAGTCCGAACTTGTTTGAATGACCGGACTTCAAGACGCAGGCGAAGTCGTCCTCGCTCCAGCTCACAGCAGGCAAGCGAGCATGCCTGGGAGGGACAAGGTTGTGCATGCGGCGAAAGAACTTCCCGTTTGACTATAGGTAAATATATATATATTATAATAGATACTGACTCTCTACTAACTCTAGTACTGACTTTTCATCTCATAGATACCCATACAGACCCATACAGAAGCTGATGTTCGCACTCAAATGTCTCAGTCTCAGACTGTCCTTTCCATGCCGAAAATAGATCCATGCTGCCGTCCCTAACCACAGTCAGGTGGCCTTTCCTCCTTCCATGATGTGGATTCTGCACTGGCGGGCTTCGAACAGCGCTATCGACAGTTGGATAGTCTCTTGGAAGATCTTAAGCTCCAAATATATAAAACTGTAAGGGAAGCCAAGAAGTGGATAATATATAAGTGCATTCCCCCAACAAAACCATTTATATCCATTTATTGATAACGGTTTCGGTCTAATTTTCCGATAGGTCCTTTTTGCAGGGGTTTCCATCTGAACAGTCGTTTTTTCCACCATCTTTTCCGACTCTCTCGGAAGTCTCGTGCTCGCGTCATACATTTGGGCCTACTAGTGATGGCCTTGTACCGAGTAGCTGCTTGAGTTACTATATAGTAACGCCAGGAGCGCCTCTAGTTCGCTTCGCGTCCCATCGCATCGCGTTGTACTCACGCGATGTGCCCCCTTGATGTTCCGAACTCGTCGTCGCGATGCCGTCGCCTTCGTGGCCTTCGGCGACGTGGCCTCCCAGGTCGGAACCAGTTGATGAACCGCTTCCATTTTTTATCCAAGAGCGACCCCTCCACAGAGCCCAGGCCGGGGGTAGAAGCGGTCGGCATGGCAGTGTGGCAGTGTGGGGGGGTGGGATGGGGGTTTTCATGGGCGATCCACCCAGAAGAGTTGTTTGGGCAACCCAGCGGGGCGGGGTCTGTTTTCTTCCTTTTTGAATGTTCATAAACGTTGAAGGATCATGGTTTGTATCATTAAAAATACACCGATCTGGGTGGCCCGCCTTTGTAACGGTGGGTTCACGGTCATGAGACATCGCTCTTCGACACCGTTTTCGGACGAACCAGAGGCCTGCGAATCAGCGCATGGATGAGCTGCGCAACAAGCTACAAGAGCTGCGAGTCTTCTGGAAAGCGGCACAGGAATGGGATAAGGCCAGAGTTCCCTTCTCTTGCGAAGATGTGAACTTGTATAAATCGACATAATTATAGATCCCCCACTTGAGAAGAGGCCAAACATGGGAAATTAAACAAGCTTGCTCCGAGGCCTTTGGTTTGGTGACTGAATGACCTGCGTTTCTTTTTGCTTGGGAGGTTGAATGGACCAGATAGGTCACCGATGAGGATCTTCTTTCATAGGGTGTTTTGAAGTCATGTTTGCCATGTTTGACCATGGTTTCAATGAACGACCAGACCGAAGTTCTTCTCTAATTTCAAAGAACATCCTTGAGACTCCGAAGATCCTGTTTCAGCTGAAGTCATGTGTTGAGCAAATTTGGTTTATTCACTGCGATGGACAGGAAGTGGAGAAACGCCTGCGCCAGTCGCCGGTGTTGGTTTGCATTGCAGATTTGCAGCGACAGGCGCGTGGCACATGAGGTTTTGATGGCATGGATGTCCAGGAAATGACTAGAAGCACCTGTAACCTGTGTGCTTACTGGCTAGTGGATGCTAGTGGCTAGCGGTACTGTGTAATAGAGGTACTAACAATGAGTCAAAACAAGGGGTGTTTTCTAAGTCTGCCTCCGGCATGCTGTTTTCCCGTCCGTTCTGCATCCTTCGAACGGTCGAACAGACTGACTGCCTCGCTCGAAGTCGAAGCGCTCGACGTGGTCAGGCACACTTCACGCTTCGAGCTGTGAGCCAATGTCCCAAGGAGCAGAATTCTGAGCACGTGAGCGGTGAACGGCGCTGTTGGTTGTTTGTGTTCTTTTTCTTTCAAGTTTTTGAGTAATTAGCTTGCATTTGTATGACCAACTCCCGCAACATGAGGTCAATCTGACTTGCATAGGCTACTATATAGAGTTTTTTTCGTGTTTCCGTGTGGATGACCTGTTGACACACACCAACTCCGCCAGTCGCCAGATTCGCAGTGGGTGCTGGTGTTGGTTATATAATATATAACCATATCGCAAAACCGCAGCAGTTCTATCAGCAATGACCGTGTGACATGGATTCAGGGTCAAATGATTGGGTCAACGCACTGGCCGGGCCACTTGTTGCGGACAGCTGGGCTAGGCCCAGCTGTCAGCAGTGGGTGTCAGGTCCTTCAGCTTCAGCTGAGCGCCTTGCCATGGAGACAAGGTAAAGGCGGTATGCACAGCTCCCGGAGGAACCGCGAAAAAAAACGCCTTCACAACGCATCACAGGAGCATGCCTTTGCAACTTGCCGGCTCGCCAAAAGGACCCCGTCTTCAGCACAGATGTTCTTCATGGGTGCTGAAGAATGCCGGGACATTCGTTAAAGATACTTCTTGGCGTGTACTTTGTGGAGAGAAAATACGAAGCGATGAGAAAGTGAGCATGTGCCAGAGGCTCAAGTGCAGCCAAACGATTTGGACAAGGAGGAGGTTGCCAATGTTACTTTTTCTGCTTGAACGCCTTGGAAGAAGTGGCTGGAGCGAATTTAAATGGCTTGGACAAGGAGAAGGTGGAAAGGGTAAAATGCATTCTCAGTCTCTTCCTTGTCGAAGCCATTGAAATTCACAAGAACGCACTGCGGACCTTGGGAAGCGAGGTTTCGAGGTTTGGACCTATCATTGCCACGGCTTGGATGCTTTGTGCCAATGGGAGAGTCTGATATCGACTGTGAAGGAGCGGCATGCTCTTCCAGACATGATCCAATTCCCTTCGATTCTTCCACTTGATAAGAGCGCCCAGGACAGAGCCGCAGAATTTGTTATGAAAGCAGCCCTGGATTCTTGCGCTGATGCTTCAGAGGGCTTCCAAGGTTTGTTGTCCACCTTGTTTTGGCCGGTGGCATCAAAACAAGCCTGTTCATTGTTTAAACACGATTCTCTCAGAGGTGGTGAGACCTTGTTGGACTTGGTGAGCACAAAGAAAGAAAGAAAGAAAGAAGACTTGTTGTGGTACGAGTAATGAGTAATGCACTTATATAGCCACTAGTAACTTCTTGTTAGTAGTAGTAGTAATGCATAGTAATGCTCTTGTTCCTAGTACCGAGCAGAAAGCGGAGAAAAAAGACTCACAACCATTCTTGTGTCAGGACCACCAGCGACTACTGAGTCACTTGGATGTAGTTGGCTTTTCACTGCGGTGCTTGCCAGTGCTTGCCCTTGGCCATGCGTTTCTTGTCTCTTGTGTGCCTTGAAACTTCAAGTCTCCAGAGGAGCCAAATCGCTTTGTCCACCAGTAGGGTTCGGGCTTCTTGGAACCCAGGGCTTCTTCCCAAACCAAACCGCCCCAGCCGAGGACAAAGGATCAACGCATTTCGACAAGTCTTTCGGCAGCTCTTCATGGTGCAATCCATCATGTGCCTGAACGCACCTCGGTGGCCCCAACACCGGAGCCCGGCGATGGGACAGAGATGTGATGTGGGAGGTGAATGAAAAAGATAATTCGGACATGAAAAAGACTTACTGTTAAGACGATCCTTTGACCCGTCTTCTCAATGTCGTGTTCCCAGATGAACCAAGCATCCAAGCCTTTTTTGCTATTCAAAGTATTCAACCGTATATAGTGTTATAGTGTTATATAATATATACAACACTGTTCAACCATGTCGAAGCGTAACTGGTCTGACTTGATCTCACCGGTCTTTTTGGGAGTCCAATGTATTTCCTCCGAGGCCAAGGGCGACATGTCGGAACGCGAGGGGCGGAAGGTGCCCCTGGTGCCCTACAGTCCACCACAAGCGCATGCAGCTTGGAGCGGTGCGAGAGGAGTCGAGGACGAGACGAGACGCTGATCAGACATCTGAAGAGATGAAACGGTTTGAGAGAGTACTTTGAGACAAGGGTGAATTTGATGGTTAAACCTTAAGGATGGTTTTGCTTGCATGCGTCTCTTTTTTCTGTCTGAAATCGCGAGTCTGAGTTCAGATCAGGGTTGATGAAGGGTGAGAAAAGTGGTGTTGAACTCCAGTTCAATGGTGGCATGCAACATGTGCAGAAGAGCTCAGTCTTCAACCAGGCCCCAATGGGCCTTCAAAAGGATTTTGGATGATTTTGGTCTTTTCCTGCTGGACTTGTAGGTTAGCGGCCGTTGAATTCCAGACTTTTGTCAAGTGCAGAGGAGATGTTCGGTGTTAGGTGCAAACGACCTCGAGCAAAAATAACCAATTGGTCCTTTGTTTTACTGTATCCACAGAGGTTGTTTTGTCCACGGAGGATGTTTGATCCGCTGAAGAATGCATAGGGGAGGATAACAATTGGTGGTTGACAGAGAGTAATTACAAGAGTTTGTCCATGAAGAGCATACCGTTTTGTGTTCGGTAGTTCTTTTTCTGAAGAGTTCGTCGGGTTAAGACTTTGCTGTCCAGGCAGCATTCTGAGTTTAATCCAAGACCGCTAGAATCACCCGTACAGTGGATGCAAATCCTATCTTTTCATCTATAAAGCAATTGTTGATCCTTTGCACATCTTGGACAGTGATCTACTGTACATCTAGACACATGCACTCTCCCAATTATACAACTTTGGACTGTGCCAATGTCCAGGCGTCGTTCATATACACACCGTTCATACACATCTCCAGCGGTTGGATCCTCAAAACGTGAGAGTTGCTTCGAGCTGTGGCAACTGCGTCTAACCGCTCCAATTCCAATCCCTTTCGATCTCCAATCCCTGTCCACTCCCTTGTACTCAGGTTTGGAGCAACCTCTTCGACACCCCAGTGAACATCAAACCGCGTGACTTTTCGGCGAACTGCTTCGGCTTCGAAGAAAACCATCAGAAAGGCAGGATCGATCACGTTCGTCGCATGAACCTGGCCATGCACACTCCGCGCACACACGAAGAGCAGCAAAGGGACAGGCATGTTTTTTCAATCAAGAATCTCTAAAATACCCAAAGCACGCCTTCAAGTACCCTGAAACTACTCCAACAACCCATCCCAAACAAATCCCCTCCCGTCCGTCGATCATCGACACCGTGACCGCGCCAGGCGGCGATGCCTCAGGTGACGCACCCGGCTTCGATCCCAACGACACCATGACCAGCCTCGGGAGGCGCCAGGGAGCGGTTTGATGGTGGTTTTTTGGCAGTCATTTTTTGGGGGGGGGACGGGCTCGCCGGGCTCGCCCTTGGGAAAGGGAAGTCTGCTGGGTTGAAGTGATGATTGCTCTGTAGGTTGGTGACTCGTGAGGAAGAAAGACTGGCCTTCAGCCGGCCCCCCTGCCAGAGATACAAAGACACCTCACATCATGTTTTAATCACATACAATAACTATTACATAATTGTACAAATATATATATATATATATATTATACATATGTGTGTACCATGGAAGTCCAAAAGCTATTTTTCGAGTGACCTAAAGACCATTTTTCAAACAGTCTTGGACTTCTAGACTATATAATGCGATTGTTTTACTCCGAGGTCCTAAGGTCCCTGAATGAGGTGAGGAAGCCCCACAGCCATGTGTTTCAAAAAACTGCAGGTCTTTCTGTGCTCTAATTTTTGATAACTAAATTTGCATTCCTTTTTGTTCCGAGTAGCGTCCTTGCTCCTAGTAGTAAGGCCAGGAGCCCCTAGTAGCGTCCCTGCTCTACCCTTTGATCAATGCGTGTCGCTCGCATGCCCAACCAGGCTCCTTAGAGCTGGCGTCCTGGATAACCATGCCAAAGTGGCCAGACAGTATGCGCCACTGGGATCCGAACTGGAGCGAACTACTGGTTGGTGTGCCAAGGTTGTCAATGATTCACTTGACAGTTGTGCACCTGAAAGAATTTGTGAGCTTCCAAGTGCTTATTGTCAATGACAATAGGTTGAACTTGTGTTCGTTTGGAGTTGTGGAGGTGCGTGCGAAGAAAGACATATTACCTTTTGTTGGTTCCTTTGATCAGCCGCAACAACGCCTGGACCCACATTGTGGTTATTGTTGTCATTGGTGTTGTCGGTCGTTGTTCTGATTGTGTTGTGTCTTTTCTTTTCGACCCTGATGATGCGAGCGCGAGTGGCTCTTGTTTGTTTATGGTTGTTGTTTTGTTTTGTTGTTTTTGTGTGCTTGTGTTGTTGTTCATGTTGATCTGTTTTCCGTCAAGCTATCGTTTAGTATTTGGACACCAGGAATGGACACCTTGGGTGGGAGCCCCAAGCTCACCTTTGCACTTGGCAGCCGGCACACTCCTTACTCCTTTTCCACCCTATAAGATCCGATTTCTTCCAACACAGGAAATCCAGGTTCGATCATCTCGTAGATCAGATCAGATCGGTCCGAGGTTAGCCAGCCGCGAAAGCCATGAGATGCGAAATTTACTTTGCAACGTGATTGCTTGGGCACAAGAGAGGCCTGAATGAGCGGGAAGGTGTTAACCAAAAGGCCGGCGGTTTGTTGAAGATGATGGAGGGCTGTGAGGAAAGTCGAAAATTGTTTGGGACGTGGAAGGAGTCTAAAGAATCACGGTAGACAATCATCGTACGATTCAGTATAAGTCTCAGTGGTAGATGAGTCTTCCAATTCATGTACGGACTGAAAGCACCCACACCAGTGAAAGGAGTTGCACCTTCTCGATTGGGGATGACCCTCATACTTATGTCCATATTCAAGCCACTCTCCTTCTCAGTCTTGGCTATGATATTTTCGTAGACCTTACTTACAATATCTTAGCACATTTGGAATATTGATGTCCGTCCCGCACAACTTGCTCACATGTTGCCTGCATTGTTTGTACAGTGACTGTTTGTGCCTTAAAGAAGAGAACGGCATGAAGAAATCCCTGCTCCACTCATCCTGGTTTTCCCATGTAGACCGCATGTAGACCGCCTGCGTTGCCGCCTGCGTTGTGCAGGCTGCCCATCTCCACAAAGGGCACAGGCCCAGTGGTGCCAGCAGCGGTACTGGCAGAGCCTCGGGCAGAGATGGTCCATGATAGCCCAGGAAATGCCAAGCTGTGCCACATCTATTCGGGACAAAAGATTGCATTTTGTCCCTTGAGCGAGTAGAAGGAAGTGGAGTGGGGGGTTGCATCACTCCTGCTTGCTGCGACTATATATATATACATATATCATGATTACATCAGTCAGATCGTAGCGGAGTATCCACCACAGACAATACATCTTTGGTTGCTGATACTTCAACTGTGGACCAATGCAAGGAAAGATCTGACAACTAGACCATCCTGGAACAGATAGCACATATTGGCAGAAACCTGCAACAAATAACACGGGGCATGACCTTTCCAAACGACATTTAACAAAAAATCAGAGGCTGATGTGGGGTACGTCCAGTCTGTTGACTGAGCTTGTGCACCTGCTTGTCGCACTGAGGAGCAGTTGGACTCCCAAGCACGGCAGCTGGAAACGGCATTGCATCGCTCCAGGCCCTACCCGCAGCTCTTCAACCGGCAAGATGGAGAGGCCATGGATCGATGCGTTGGCCGGATGCGTTTCTCGGTGAGAGAAGCGAGTCGAATCGTTGAAGGTCCTGATATGTTTTCTGACAGCTTTGTGTTTGGAGCGATATATGAGTTCCAGATGATTCCAGATGATTCTATGGTTTAAGACGGGCTTTCTGTCAAGAACTAGCCTTGAACAGATGCATATCGGAGTCGCTGTTTCCTACCTATCCAATGAGAAAGAGAACAGAAGTGATTCTAGAGCAGGGAAGAACGGGCTTTGCAGTAGACTTGGGGTGGAATGGATCTATGGGGAACCTATGGGAACTTCACAGATTGTCTGGTGGCGGTGGGAAGATTGGGTCATCCTGGACAATCCACAAATTGTCCTGACCGGTTGGCAAAGCCTAAGCTGCCAATGGAGCTGGTTAGAAGTGCCATCTTGGTTTGGCCACGGGACAATCCTCAATCTTCGCATTTCTCCAGCGTCCGTGCCAGATCGCTTCCGAGCAGAATCCACCATCGGGGGACGTCTTCTTCTTGGGCCGCTGGGCAGAGCATGTGCTTTCGGTGGGAAGCGCCACTCAGGGGGGCCAAGCTGTCGGAACTCCTGATCAAGATTACCCCCGGTCCTGGAGACAAACGCGGCGCATCAGTCATCAGCAGTTGCTGCACTCAGTAGTTGTGCGAGCCACCGTCTCCGAGCCGAACCTTTTGGGAGCAAGTTCCGAGCGTGAATCATTCGAGCTTTTCCAACAAAGGTCCCTCTCTCTCCGGTCCAGGATCCTGAGAGGGGGAAGGTCGATGTTGGCATGATTTGTAACAAAACCGTTGAGAATCAGTTCATAGACACTCAGAATTGCAAATTGGATTTGCAGAGCTTTTTCAATATGGTCCATCATCCTTCCTGTGGAGGCTGTCTATTCTCCGATAAAAGTTTCTTGAAGTATGCTTCAATGAACTCATCCTGAGGCGGCTTCTACAAGAACTTGGCAGAAAGTTGGCTACGACGCTTGCGACTCATGCGCCGCTGGGCGAAAGCTTTGGCTTGGGAGTACGGGGTATAATATCCAGCGGTTTGTATGGAGCTCATGCGGCCTAGTGGCCTAGCTGTGTAGATGATCCATGAACGAGAAGAAACCTCGTTGTTGATGGAGATATCTACTGCATTACTTGTTCATTTTTAAAGGATGTTTGATCAATAGAAGAGGCAAGCAGCAACATACTTTGCAGTCATCAAGTTGGATAGGACTGGCTTTGCAGTTTTGCCCCAGAAGCCTCTTTTTCGGGATCCACGTGTTTCGTGTGTGGACTTTCTCTGTGTGGGCGAGGCATAAACCATACCATCACCATCACCTCCCGTGGCAACGAGCATCGATGGCTCTTTTGCCGTGCTCACCATCGGTCAATGTCGCATCTACCTTGGGGGTGTGTCCGAACTTACTGGTAGAGCCGACGGTAGCACCGAAGGAGAACGGCCCTAAAGAAGGGAGATGGTTGGAACGGCTTGCAATTGAATCGGCCCCATCATCCAAAACAGGCCGACTGGGCGCAGGGTGGGATACACCCAACACAGGTCGAAACCTGGGAGCCTTCATGGAATGTCAACAGATGCTTGGCGCGGGGATGTCTGTCATTTTTTCGTTGTAGATTGAGGCAACACGGATGGTCTAGGAGAAGAATGGTGCGTTTATTTCGGGGTGTTGCCTAGAACTTTGTCAGCTGAGTGAGTTCTTTGTTTGGAGGTGTTCGCAGGCATTGGGATGTTTGGCAACTTGTTTGGTGTTGTTCTTCCATGGTCGGTTGATGGAGACACATCTGAGAGTATTTTGGAGAGATCCAATCATCCAATCCTTTGCAAGTGCCGGACAGAACAGACATCCCGTTGAGAAAAACATGCTTGTTGAAACCGAAATCAAGCTTAAGTATTGTTCCTCTCGCAGCGCGTATTGAGGTCAGGCCTCACGTCGCTCAAAGGAAGAAAAGCTGTAAAGGTGGAATGATTAACGTGAAACACTAAGCTAGAAGCAAACATTGTTACTACTAGTAAGGCACTTGTTACTAGAAGCGATGCACTTGTTACTAGTAGTAAGGCCTTGTTTCTACTAGCCCACTGAGGTGAAAGCAACAAAACCCCGGCTCTCAGATGTATGTACTTCAGCAAATTATAGTTCGGAGGCACTTCTAAAAGGAGTTCACACACCAGAATCACACTCAAGGATGTGGCTGAAGCTGTCGCCATTGTTGAAGAGTCAAAATGTCCCACAGAGCAGCTTCAAAGAGCTACAGAAAGCTGTGCCTTGGGTTGCAATGATGGGCTGGAGTGCTTGAGGGTGAAGAAGTTGGTGGTTTGCTCTAGAATGCTTTGAGATTGATCTCATCAAATCTTGGAATCTCTTCCCCTATTCCAGTGCAATCTGGAATGCTTCCCAGCTTCTATGGCCCTTCCATGACTTAGTACGCTTCCCACGTCCTGGCAACAAAAACCGCTGCTGCCGGGGCTCTGAGGATCAAATCTTCCAGTCTTTGGCGCAGAGCATGGCGGCGAATCCCGAGACCCGTGCCTGCCTCGAGGCCCGGTCGTTTTGTTCGCCTCGTCTTCGGCGTTTTGGGCCGGCGTCGCGGCGTATGTGGCGTGGTGCGGAGCTTGTGCGGGCTGGTCACTAGAAGTATAGGTTGCGGAGCGACATTGCCGTGTCTAGTTTTGGTCTTGGCCATGAACAGGTGCCACATGTTTCTACATAGCCTATTTGCTCTGACAGAGTGCAGCCCGGGAGATCTCATTCGTCAGAACTCAGCATAAGTTTATTAGCTTCATGTATGTTATGCTAGATGCAGAAAGCATTTAAGCTAAAACTTGTACATCCTTGTACATCTGCCTGATGATGCTTCATGTTTCAGCTCCACATTTGCTCTCGGCAGAACTCCCCCGTGCTCAGGGTGTGCTCGGCTCAGCGGACGGCTTGGCGACGGAGGCGGACCGGTTGGGTGGGGTGGAGCGCGACCGGTAGGGAAAAGGAGCCGAAACACCCAACGTAACACGGTGATGTCAAACCTGCAAGAATTCGCAACACCATGGGAGGCATATATCCATCATAATGCATCATATCTTCTCCGGAATGTTTGATTTCAGGAAGCAAGCACCAGTTGCCAACCAACCATCTTCAGGTTTCGATGAAGCTTCGTGTTGTGGCTTTTCTTCAGTGTCGTTGCCCAAACAAGTCTGCTCAACCAACGTCGAGGCCTGCAAGTACTTCATGGATGCCTATGGTGTGATCCGGCAAGACCTTCAGGAGATGATGCGCAGCAGATCATGCGCAGCAGAAATTGAGAGTGGTAGCGTCCTTTGCTCCTAGTAGCGATGCCCTTGTTCCTAGTAGCTTCTTGCTCCTAGTAGTAAGGCCAGGAGCCCCTAGTAGCGTCCTTGCTCCTAGTAGCGATGCCCTTTGCTCCTAGTAGCGTCCTTGACTATCTCACCCAAATTGTTTAACCACTGGTCAACCGAACAATTTCCAACATCAGCCGCAGCTACTCTTTGCAGCTAGGACTTGCGCAGTCGCTGCTTTCGGCTCTTCTTCTTGGAGGACGAGGCGCGCGTGGCGTGCGGGTTTGACAAGGGTGTGCTGAGAGGGTGGACAATGGGAAGCGGGTGGAATTCGGTGGAATTCTTTGAGGTCAATCCCGCGGATGGTCTTCCAGCCAAGTCCAGCAATTTGCTGATAAAATCAAGAAGCAAAGATCCACCACCAAATCTACAGGATCCGCCAACCAAAGTTCCACAACTCAAAAAGCCATCAAAAGACCGATTTTTGAAACTGCTGGCCCTTCAGTGGTGAGGTCCTCTTTGAGTTGTGGGGCAGCTCTGCCAACACTGAGACACAGCAGCAGATTGTGCTCCTCGGAAAGCAGTCTGAAACTTGTGTAGTCGCAACAGCTTTGGAGGAGATTTCTCATTGGTAGCTTTTAGCTACTTGTAGCTTCTTGTTCCTAGTAGCGACGGCCTCCAATCTACTTGCGATGGCCTCCACCTAATAGCGTCCTTGCTACGAGCCCCTACTGTATAGGTCCAAGAAATGGTCCAAGATGGACTAAGTGGTGAAAAACTGCAAAGAACCCAATTGGTCAACCCCCGGCACCGTTGTTCACTATGCTGTGCGCATTTTGGGGCTATGCCGATGCCCCTTGTTGAGTCCATTTGGAGGAGGACGATTGGCCGTGCTAGATCCTCGGAGTTGTGACCTTTCTCTTCTCTAAGCTACACCAGCTACGTATCAAGAACCCGAAAACCAATTTCTTGGAGAATCTTGCTTCAGCAATGTCCAGCAAGTCCTTGCAAGAGGTGTGGAACTGCATCTCCACTAATACAGTACAGTTTAATTTGCTCCCCCCCTTGGAAGACAGCCCAGAATTCCACTCAGCTCCTTCCTCACCAGGATCACCATCCCCACCATGCCATTTGCCCTCTCCGCCCTCGCGCGGTTTGCTCTGATGAGGAGTCGTTGCTTGCCGCAGCTCTTCCCTGGTTGGGGCACAGCGATCTTCGCACAGCAGCTGGACTCGGCAGGCTTGAAGACATGCGGTTTCTTTCTTGTGTTTGTTGAGGTCTGAAAAGATGGGTGGAGCAACTTGCCACTTTGGGGATAAGCATGAGAGGAAGAGTGAGGGGGGATTGGGGTGGGTGGATCTATGTTGTCCAAGATGTTTTTGATTGGGGTTAGGGATTTTCAATAAGATGGGGTTGGCACCTGATCTTCTCACGGCTTGCGATTGTCTTGGAACCCTTGGCTACCTTTTAAATATGTGATACATCTTGAATTTATTTTTGAGGTTGTGCACTTATTTTGAGAGCTCGTGTTTTTCATGCGTGGCTTCCTATGACTTATATATGTTTCTGCCTGGGCTACCCTGATTTCTACTTTTTGAGGAGTTCCAACCCCTCCCGCCCGTCGAACGACTATGACTAACGTCCGGCGCAGGCTCCCATCGTTCGGCGTCCAAACGATCGCAGTCCAAGAAGGGCACGGTCGAGATCAAGAGTTCCTCGGCGTTTTGGATGAGTCTGTTTGTATTGCTTTCTGTCCCACTCTCAGCGAAAGCACAAGCTACCCAAGCTAGGCGGTTCCATGAATCAACTCACGGTTCAAAACTATGATGGCCCCAAACTCCGCAGATGTTGTTTTACATCTTCACCAAGCGAGGTGACTTGGTGATTACGGCAGTTCAGCCCACTGGTCCTGCTCTTCAGTTGCACCTCGGCTGCCACGCTCCGCCCGATGTGGGACAAGAGTCCAGCAGAGTCACGGAACATAGATGTACCAACGGAGTGACTCGGATGTTTAGATGTAGATGTTTAGATGTAGATTCTATCTTCCGTTGATGTTTAGATGTAGATAGATGTACCACATGGCAAGGTACTCAGATTGTTTGTTACTTGTGTTCTTTTCTCCTTTTGGGTGTATGTTCAATGTGTGAGTGATTTGTGTTTTAGGGCAGGTCCATGATTGGCCCCATGCTTGGGGTGCCCTTTTTGTGTGATTGCGTTAAAGCCGCTTGAGCAGTCACTCTCTCTTCAGTGAAGTTCTGCGAAAGAACCCTGAAGAGACTTGCAGAGCTTGTGCAACAGAAGCAGCAGAGCAGAGCTTGACAGGTCAATTTTTGATGCAATCTATAGTTGGCGTCGGTTGATGACCACTCCTGCATGTAATAATAGCCTAATTTGATTCTAATTAAAAACTTAATAATAGCTTCTACTAGCAAACATTGTTACTACTAGTAAGGCACTTGTTCCTAGTAGCGATGCACTTGTTCCTAGTAGCGTGGCACTTGTTCCTAGCAGCGTCCTTTGCTCCTAGTTGGCGTCGGTTGATGACCACTCCTGCATGTGTTCTGCATCAACGTCACTTTTATCTCGTCATAGGATTGCCAGAAGACATGGGAGGTTCATGAGTTGCAAATGTCTTTATCTATGCAAACCAGGAGAACATGACTCATGTAGTTTCTACTTCACAGTTTGTCAGTTTCTGTCGTTACCAGTTGTTGCCCTCAAGTAAACTTGATGAGCTCACTCAAGTCAAGCTGTACTCAAGTCTTCACATGTGTGAAGACATCAGATGCTCTCAGGCTGGAGCCAGTTCCGCTTCATTTGCCGGTGCAGGAGTCCAGCGTCACGTTGTCCACGGGTTGACACCCAAGCGGTTAGTTCTTACGCCTTGCAGTAACTACGATGCCCGAAGACACATGCGCATGTTGAGCCAAAGATTTCTGATCCAAGAACGGTCGGTGGAAACAGATTCATGCTGGGAAATAACTTTGTCAAAGAAACATGGAGCACATGACGCTGCAAATGGACAGGGCGCTGAACAGGACCCTTGTGTCGAATAATCTTTCGTTCCTGGCACAATCTGGTGTTGAACAAAATAGGACCAGCAATTTAGCAATCTGAAGACCTATAAGAATGGTCAGGAAGATGGGAAATCCCTTCAACCTTGAAGTTTGATTCTTTTCTGTACTTGTCGTGATGTTTGATTGAGTCTAGGGCTGTGGACAACATCTCTTGCAAGGCAATAAGAATGATGTTTGAAGAAAGGGTTTGGATGAAATGCAGGGCTAAAGCCATGTATCGGGCGACTTTGCTATCCGCCTCTGACCGACTGGCTCAGGGGGAGCGTCAGACATACCCCAAACAAGATGCACCCAAAGCAGTGCAAGAGAGACAAGTCACAGCAATCACGATGGAGTGGGGAATTACACTGGCAGAAATCACATGAATTGCTAGTTGCATCTTGCCCTCATGTGGGCAATTGTTTCGTGGGTGAGTCAGAGTCAGATGGCCAGATATCTCTTGAGCCTGACAATTTTGTTACAACTTAGCAATCCCAGAAGACATGCCATTTCCGTCCTCTTGTGGCATGCCACACATTCATGGCTGACCCAGCTAATGTCCCAAGGAAAGCGATTATTGGGGGGTGAACCAAATTCATACCTCTGACTTCGAAACCATTCCACACCACTGGTGAGATCAACAAGAGTACTCCAGCCATCCTTGGCGCACATGGCGCCTCCTGTGCGGGGAGTGGGGCTGACCCCACGGATTTTCGAGGCGGGGAGGAGTCAATTCTTGCAGCTTTGGGTGTTCCAAGGAAGTTTGAGGCCGGTCAACCACGCATGGTAGGTGGAACTAGGATAGATCGCGCAGGGATGCACCTTATTTTTGTGGTGGGATGTTTTCTCATGTGTTTTTTCCGGTGCATGTCGTCAACCGATCACAAGTTGATGGTCTTTCGTGCCCACAGCCCCCTCTCACAGTTGACACATCACCTCCTACCGCATCTTAGGCTTAATGGGATTCCATGGGTGTGATCAATCAGTCGACCAACCATGCTCGTCCTCATTGAGGAATCTCACACTCCTCCAAACTTGTTTTCACCTGTGTACTTTCACTGAGTTGATCCCCCAACAAATAGAACATACAGTAGGCACCTTCATGGAAGACAAAAATAAAGTACAAAAAAACTGCCAGCAAACAAAGAACAAACCAACAAACAGTTCCAAAAAAGCCAATTCAATCAACAAACCAACAAAGAATTCACAAACAAATTCAAAACAAAAACGAGCTCCACCTGATGACTTGTCTCTCGCAACAATTCCAGACCCGACACCACCTTGAGGCCTTGGTGCTCCACTCCGACCGTCATTTTGATGCCTTACCTTCCGAGTGGCTTGGCGCAAGGGGCTTTCCGGGCTCGGAGCGGGGCTCTTCTCCGCTCGGTGCGAAACACCGGAGAGACCGGAGAGAAACGAAGATGACCGGAAGAGAAGAGCAGGAGAAGAGGAGAAGAGGAGAAGAGAAGGACCGGTCCGAGGTGTTGTCCCTCTTCAGGTGAACTGGAGGTCTAAATGAGGAAGAAATGGAAGTAACTACTCAGCAAGGTGCGGGTAGACTCGACGCACTTGAGGGTTTGACTGAACGGATGCTTCTGAACTGGTGATGTTGCTTTTGCAGGCCTTTCGTGGCACCAAGACAGGGGGCTGGTGGTGCCTCCCGGCGGTTTGAGATGTTTTTGGTCGTTGAGAACTCAGGTTGACCTGCATTACATGATTTGCTCAGAGGGTGTTTAGTTGTGGTGGAACCCCTCAGGCAGCTGTTGGACAAACATTTGGGCTTAGAGTCTTCAACATCTCCAGTTGTGGATTTAACCACTATCTTGAGCTTAACCAAATATATCTTGAGCTTTAACCTTTATATTGGTTTTAACCTTACATTGGAGATTCTCTATGCATATGATTTAACCTCTATATATATATATATCCAACATCTTGAGCTTCGCAGGAGAAGAACTGAAAGAACCAGCCACTTCCGTTCTCATCAACAAACGACATAAACAGATTCCTTCCACAAACCAAAAAATCGGTGACATCATTGACCAAGACAAAGTTCCTCTTGAAAGATGCCCAGACTTGGCCCCTGACGTGTTCCTCTTTGGGATCCAGGGTCACCGACGTGTGACGTGTGCCTCTCGAAGAGGCATGTGACGACCATCCACCGGCACGTGCACGGCAACCACATGGCGGAGAACTGGTGCCCAGTGCAGCTTGAACGGCACCAGTGGTTGGTCTAGTGGAGATGCCAATATTCTCAAAGAATCTCAAAGAGAAGCTACCGTATGTGTTTGTAAAGGAAGCAAATATTGGAAAGACGGGTTCCAATTGTGGAGTGTGCCATCATAATCCTAGCACGGCAGCTAGACTTGTGAAGGCGTTCAAAGACTAATACAGTTAAGCACCCCGGCTCCGTTCTTCTGTCAATGAGTCATGCTAAGCGCTGGTTTCACTCCCCATGCGCTGGTCTCTGTGACTGAGGATCGTGGAGAATGAGGTCGGGGAGCGCTGGGCGGTGCACCTGGATCCACTGCTGATCCGACAACATCGGATGAAAGTGCGACAAGAGCTACTGGGTCGAAAACACAAAAACGTCACGAAAACGTCACAATATATGGATTCATATATAGCGTAGCCACCAGGAAGAGCCATTTTCCTCGAGAAAACAGAGTGGTTTTCCACTTCCATTTTCGTGAGTTAGAGGGTACTGGGCCGTACTGTCGTGTGGTCCGGTAGGTGATGGTCACCAGGAGTCCTGGCTTTGGAGGTCCTTTTCTGTCGCCAAAGGCAGTACGCCGGTGACGACCAAAGGGCACTGAATTCGAAAGGATTGCAGTTCATGGCAGCCATGGCTTTGAGATTGTTCAAAAAGAAAGAACAGTTCGACCTGGGTGTTTACCATCTAGAAATCGCTCTTTGGGTTGTGCTGGTACAAGCAGTGTATTTATAAGTTGAGAGTTATGTCAAAGTGAGACCCGAAGGAAAAGGTTTGAACAATGCGTCCGAGTTTGGCTAAGCAGCTAGCTGAGGGCTGAGGAGCTGGCACAAATTTGAGACATACTCATGTTGAAGAGAATGATATGCATCCCACAGCTTGAAACGTGCTTGACTCTTCCATCTACCAGAAGAAAGGGATGGAAAAAGCCATAAAAAGCCTATTTGGACTTGACTCTGGACTCATTCAATGCTTCCAAAGTATAGGAAATGTGGGGCGACACCAGGCTCGAGCCTGGTTGCCTCACGTTCCAAGGCTCTTTGACGTGCAAGAGACCCTCAGCTTCGGTGAACGCGAAAACCAGGTCGGTCCGACACGAGGCAGTGACCTGGTGGCCCAATGAACCCCTTAAGGTGACGTGTATATCACCTGGTGAAAAAGCCGGTCGCTTCATAAAGAACACATCATGGCATATCATGGCCACTGAGTCTAAGTATGTTGAAGTGTTGAAACATTTGTTCCCATTTTGTGGAAGGATTTTGGTTGACGCACATACCGGCCTTTTGGCTTCTTCGCCTCTTGATCATGGTCATCGATCGACCCCAGGGACGGCGGTGAGTCGGTGGGACGACGGTTTCGTTCCGAGTGTGGACGGGCGCGGTGATTCACTGGTGAGACTGAACAGAAAGAGGAAGTGGTGAGTGGTGAGTGGTGACGGACTGATATAGAAACTGCCATGGCCCTTGGATTCTTGTCAAGTCTAACAAGTCTGTCCTGAACTTGTGCCTCAGAAACAAAACGGAGGAATTGAATGTGTGTCATGAGTGCACGGTTTTGTTTTTGCAAGTTCCCATCTGTTAAATCTACTCAACAAACTCCCAAACATGGTGCTGTTGTCACAGGGTGAAGCCTTGACCGTCGCTCCGGCTCCGCTTCCGTCCCAGGAAGCGTTCCATGATGCTCCGACGGATTCACGAGATCCGACAAAGCCTCCCCAAAGCCGAGCCGGAGGAGTCCAGGAAGTGCTGGGAGTGCCTGGACGGGTGAACCGAACCGGAGGTGTGAGTCCCGGTGTGCGGTCCTTGCGGTTTGAGAGGCAGGTCTCTTTTTTGGGGGGGCGTTAAGGGCGTTAAGCAGACGCGAGAGTCTAAAGGAATGTGTGTTTGAAGATATATGCAAAGTGAAAGTTACAGATAGCTCATGATTTGCTCCAATAGTTTGGAGTTCTTCTTTGGAAGCTGTCCAAGGACCAATCAAGACTACACAGGGTACCAGGATAGAGTTGAGGTGGATAAAGTGGAGAAAGCTTTGAGTTTTCAGGTATTATTGAGTGTTCAAGTCTTTTTCAGTCCAAAGACTTTGAGATTTTCGTAGTCTTTTGAGTCGACGAGTCGACACTGTTTTGTCGCATGGGTGAGGAGAGATTCCCTCTCGAGAGTGGTGAAACATGGCCGATCAAAGAAAGCGGCGATCCTTTGGGGATGTTCCCTTAAGTGAAGCCACCAGAGCTTCGCTTCTGCATCAATTTTGCAAAGAATCAGAAGCAACTGAAGCAAAGTGTTTAACATGAAGAATGTGTTTTTGGAAGAAATCCAACCTTTCAGGCTGAAAAAGGTCCAAGTCCTTTAGAGTTCAGCTTCCGAAGGCTGCAACACACCACCATTCAACATTTGCCCCAAGTCGAGACTCCTCGATGTTGCTCAGGAAGGAGCTGAAAGAGGCTGAGCATCGCAGGAACGAGCCGTTCCTCGACCTGTCGAGAGATACCCATTTGGTGCTCCGTAAAGTCATGGTGGAGTCTCCAAAATGACAGCAGGAACATATATGTATTTGTCTTTGTTTTTTCTTAATGCTTTTCTGAACAGATTCTATGAAGTTCTATGTGTTGTGTCACTTTGCGAAGATGGCTGGAGAGGAGGACCCAGACACTAGGAAGGTCTCCGAGGTTCCTCAAGATCCGGCATCTAACATGGAAGTTTCGGAAGAAAGAGGTGCTCGATTGACTGATCTTTGTTCAAGGCCTATGTGTTTCAAAAAGACTCATGAGACTCTTTCTCTCCAAGAGGGTTTCCAGGCTTATCCACACTTCTGAACGTTTTGTGGCTTCCAAGGATTCTGCCAGAAGAGGGAGTGTATAGAATCCGAGTGCGTGCCCAGGTTGGTCAGAGCTTTTCCTCCGAACATCAGACACGTGACAGTGTTCCTGGAAGTGTCCATGCACATGGTGCAGTTGGAGCTGGTGCCTTGACATATCAACCAGCTGGACATTGGCGCATTTACAGACAACCAATTTCCCATATGTTAGACGTGCCAAAATTATGGTGGGTGCGGAGTGGAAGAAAACTGGTGGTCTTTATCATCTTTATCTTTTCCACGCCAGGAGCCAGGGTCATGTTCCAACGGACCATTTTATAACAATCACTTTTGCATAACGAAAGGTTCACTTGCAATAAGTAGTTTTCTAGTCTAGTGCCATTAAAGCACATATATAATACCTTTGTTTCAATCCTTTTCAGCGCCCAAAAGAGGCCACTTTGCAAGACGAGTGACTCGGGTTGACTGCTTTTTGGCTGATGAAATCGCTCCGAACCGCCGGAAGAACGGCCCGGTTCACGGACGGACGACCGGACGAGGACGAAGATGGACCAAGGTCGGTCGGCATCTGAAGGAGGAGCTTTGGCCGAGACTGGTGGCTTCGCAGGTGGAATGCCTCACATTGGTGGCGTCAGGAGCCCCAGCTACGACGACGCGCCTGCACGCTGCGACCGAAACGATGAAACGGTGGGCCAAGGTGGTGAGCGTGCGGGGGAGGGAACATCTGGGAGGTCTCAGTGGAGACATAAGCAACAGGTTAGGGGAACACTGCCTGAAGAGCTGGAACGACATAACAAGTCTTCCAAAGCGGTTTTGAAAGTCGTGGCATTGTTTTTCATGTCATGTGGTGTCTTGATTCATACCATCCACATATCTACACCAACCATTGTCACACATTATCACCATACATCCTCCCCCCCAAAAAAAGCAGCAGACTGGTCTACCCGCCGGACGGCCCGCCATACCCGTAATGTGCGCCCTTTCAGGTTGGACGGTCGCGAGATCGAAGTTGAGGTCACCGAGACCGGACGTGCCTTGACCGCATCGACCCCATCGCGGTCCCAAAAGTCCGGGCGGTGGTGGCACTGGGAAGTTTGGTTCACCGAAAAATGAGGAGCACATACCAGACATGGTCCAGCCTACCAGGGATTGGGGCTCCAGGTTTTTGACTCACAGCCATATGTCCCAACCAGCATTCGTAAAGCAATCAGAACCGGTTTGGATGAGCAGTCTAGAAGAGTCTAGCAGCATGGTGACATGTGATCGTTGGGTCAGGGATATGGCCACCAAGTGCTGGCTGTCATAGGTTCAGACGTGTTCAGACTGGAGAAGGAGTGTTACTACTCAGCAGCTTGCTGTTTCCTTCTTTGTTTTCATGTTATCCCTTTTTCCATGACTGCTGGAATTGCTTAAGGTCATGCATCGCATTTCCAGCTACAAAGAATCAGTTTGTAGGATTTGCAGGTGTCAAGCTCCAGTGGGAATCGCTCTCTTTTTCTTCCATCTCCTAAAAAGTCCGGTTCCAGCATGTCCGCTCCCAGGCGCCTCCCTGACCGCCTTCCTCGATGTCCTCGACCCGCCGCCTCCGCGGTGTCTACATTCCACGCAGTCGCAGTCGCGGCGGTCGCGGTCTACGGGGACCGCGCCTGAGCTGTTCATGGCTCCGCAGCTCAGCAAGGCCATCGCCACGGATGCGCTGCTGGGCCACGGCGCAGGGCTCTTTGTGCTTTGCTCCAAACCGGCGGATCTGGAGGAGTGCGAAGTGCTGTTGAAGCGTAGCTGGGCTTCCTGGGATGTGATGGGATGTGATGACGAAGGAAGACGAAGGGAGAAACGCTGAATGAATAGGTGTGTTTAAGAGAAGTGATTTGTTTGCGCTTGTAGTGGAACAGACAGCCATAGGCCATAGGAGGAAAAAGGGATTTGTGAGTTGATCTGTCAGTGAATTTGGAGGTGAATGGCGGAGATGTACATTGGGTGCATGATGCGAGTTGGTGCTTTGAAAGTTGCATTTTAGGGTAGACGACTCATCATAGGACCACCCTAGTTTTTTGTTAGGGGCTGTGAACATCAGATTGGCGCTTCCCAAATCTGCCAGAATTTCGGAGGATTGACAGACTTTCTGGCCAGTGTCGTTGCTACCAGAGACGATTCACAGATTTACTGAAATCACCTTTCTCACATGTCCCGCGCAATCCGTGCGCGTCAGTCAGAAGAGAGACGTATGAAAGCTGAGCAACAATTGAGCAACACAAACCGCTTGGCACAGCTCAGGTAGCCAGTTGATCTTGCAGCTTTGTGGAGTGCTCGGTGCTTCTCCTGATGATCCCGAGCACAGCTACGAGCGCCTGGTGAAGGCTGCGGCGCCTGGGAGCGCCTTGCACCTCTGGCGCCTCGGTGTTGAAAGGGGGAGGTGGAGAATGGGTGGATGGATGTGGATGTTGGTTTTGCAAGGGAGTGGTTGTGTGTGTTTTTAAGTCAATGGAGTATGAATTATAACTGTATCTGATTAAATATATAGCTGGTTAATAAGTTGATAAGTAAGAGATGCCCTACTTTCTTGGCAGATGATGTGTCAGGGAGTATATTCTCTCTAGCATGTCCTCCCAAAAAGACGTTGTCAACCGGTGGGCATTGAACAGAACTGTGTTTGATGTGAATTTGTTACACCCCAGATGATCCGACGACCTGTGGCCATGTTGGAAGCCCTTGAGGTCAACCCATTTTCACTCCACATTCGGACATTGAAGCAGTTTCTTTCACACATTTCTTCTGTTTGACTCCACGCATGCTGACATGGAGTATACCAGAATTCAAGATTGAAGTGCTTGGCACCACGTTTTTGCTTTGAAGAGATTGAGGTATTCTCTTTGATCCTTTTTCCATCTTTTTCCCACCTCCAAGCCGCCGCGATCGGCCCAGGTTTGGCGCTCCCTACTGGGACGCCTTCGCCGCCGAGCGGCGGCAGCACCTGGAGGCGCTGCGGCCGCTGCTGCAAGAGACGCAGCGCTTGGGCGGGCGGCTACCGGCGCAACTGGGAGTGCTGGGCGATGGAGAGGTGGTCTCAGGCTGGATGGAGAAGGGAGATGTGGACGTGGTAGACGGTAGACTGCATGCTGGCAGCTGTTGGGGACTGGGCGTCGGACATGGCCAGGGCATTTTAGATGGCTTTAGGGATCATTTTCTTCCTTGACTCCTCAATCGAAGTGTTGTGCAATGTTTGAGAAAACAGTTCGATCTGAAGGTATCTGAAGTCTTTCTCCGGTGTACTCCACAAACACCTCACCCCCACAGCCACCACACGAGGTTTCTCGATGTTCATCCAAGCGAAACGGTGCAGCCGAAACGAGCCGAAACAGCGAGGGGCGGTGCTGGAGATTCGCCTGTTGGAGCGAGTGATGCGGGAGTGCTACGTGGATGAGCAGCGCTGCGAGGAGGAGTTGAAGATCCTCACGCAGCTCCTCTCCAAGGTGCGAGAGTGGTTCTCTGAATCAAACAGGAACAAGCAAAACACATGTGTGTGTATATAACACGTGTTCGTGATAAATTACGGGGAGGAGGAACTTTTTTGGGGGGTTGTCAATAAGTTAGTGGGGTGAACATGGTATGTAAAGATTTATATAGTTGGCAAATCAATGTTTTGAATACAATGTCGAGCAGTTGGAATAGGTGTAGGAGGTGAGCATTCATGGTATGAGGATGAGGGAAAAGCGGAAAAGCTGTTGTTCAATCCCCCGTTGATAATTCTTCTCGACCTAATGTTGAACTTGACCAAAGTCTGTTGCCCCATGTTGAACCATCCGACCCTCTTGGTGGACCAAAACCAGTGTAAAGAGAATGTTCTGCTCATCATGTGTTTGGCTGGTTAACCATTCGAACCCTCGAGTGATCTAGTGGCTTCCAAGCAGGGCAACTGCCAGCGGTGGTCGGTGACCTCCAGATCCACCCTGGATAGCGCACACAGATCACCAAGAACACATCACCAAGACTTTCACATGATTGGACGCTACTAGGGGCTCCTGGCATCGCTACTAGGAGCAAAGGACACTACTAGGGGCTCCTGGCCTAGCTACTAGGAACAAGAAGCTAGTAGAAACAATATATAGAATTTAATTAGACTTCCACATGTTGCTTGGACGATTCACCCGATCCACACCGCTGAAGACTGCACGATCCTCAGTACGCTATCCCTCAGTACTAGTACTCCTCCAACTCCATCCACAGGAGCGATGCACTTGTTACTAGTAGCGATGCCCTTTGTTAATAGTAGCTTCTTGTTACACGTAGTTAAACCCGTAGTTAGTAGACATGCACTTGTTACTAGTAGCGTCCTTGCTACTAGCAGCAATGCACCTTATTACCATTAGCTTCTTGTTATTAGTAGCGATGCTCTTCCAACTCCATCTGCAGGAGCTCGTCGAGCCGCACGAGGTCAGCGTCGTGCGCCGCAGCCCCCGGCAGCGCGACGCCGACGAGGCTGACCAAGCGAGGTCGGAGGTGGAGCCGTCGGTGGCGCCCTCCCTGGGTTTGGGACTCTTGGACGAACCGATGTGGGTTCAACGGGTCCCAAAGAGGTGAATCATGTTTGAAGGGTCAATGATATTACTTCAAAGAAACAACATGAACCGACATAAATATGACCTAACTATATGAAGAAATTGGCGCTCATGTAGCTTGTTTCGTTGGGTTTTATACCAAAAAGCGAGTGTCAATATTTTCCCATTCCGCTCTGACTCCGAAGCTAGTTCTGAAAGGTCAAGCAAACCCATGACAGCACAGCGTTTTGACCACCAAAGTCGTTTCCGTGCTCAAATTTTGATGAAGTCCTCTCTGGACCATTCATCCGTGCCTCCTAGTGTTTCCATATTCTGTTCATGTTGGGACCCAGCGAAGTCATCGAATTCTGAGCCAACCCCACCCGTTGCTCAGGAGAGCTTGCAGATATCGCCTTCTCATGGACCGTGGCCACAGCCAAAAGCAAGTAGGAGGTTTGGCGGATGCTTCGCGGCTCCAAAGAATCACTTCTGAGGGGGCTTTGCACGGAGGATACTCCCCCATAGATGAAAGTAATGTCAAGCTTCTTGTTCCTAGTAGCGATGCACCTTGTTACTAGTGGCTTCTTGTTACTCGTAGTAAAGCCAGGAGCCACAAACACCACCAGTGAATCACGCAAAACATCCACGTTTTTTTCTCCTCGGTCTGAACCGTAGTCCTCTCGGTGTGCCGTGTACTTGATTTTCTAGAGTCTTGGCTCTTGAGGTGAAGAGTCCTGCTCTTAGACTGCTGCGGATGTTCACAGATCTTTGGAGCTGCTGCATCCGTCCTCGACGGATGAGGCGCAGCGCCTCATGTATCCGATTCAGGTCCTGTCTGGAGTCCCTCAGAGCGAATGAAAGGGGTCGCAGCACCGGTGGAAGAAGTCCAGATTTCATGGGCATCTTCCTTGAAAAAGCCGTGAAATATACTTGAATATCGTGCATGCGCTTGGTGTTTGGCACTTGAAGACTCAAGTTCCTTGTTTGTGCTTGGTCGTGTTCCAACTGACTGAAGACCCTCAAACTGACTCAAGGACCTCCACATGTCCCCTGGTGGCTCAGCCACCCTGCCGCCAAGATGGCGGCTGTGTGCATAGAACGGGAGTTCGGTCAGATGTGCGGATGGAAGCAGATCAGAACTTGAGATATATGGCGCTTTACTTACCTTGAAGACATTCCCAAACAAATTCATGTTCTTATAGCATCTTATAGCCGGGATCAGTATGTCAGTATCAGTATATGTGTTGTTAGCCAACTTATTGCAGTATGTGTGTTTGGCATCATCTATATTCATGAAAATGTGTTGAGATGCGAAATAACAGCTGAACTGCCAGTCAGGGGAATCACATTCAAATCTGAGATCTACTTTGCTTTTCAGCAGTGATGAACTTTTACGGACTCGCCGTTACACTAGGAATGCATTTGGGTTCCAAGTGGATTCCACTCCAACAGCAGGATCACAAATCAGAAGTCGAGATACAACCCTTCCAGTTCTCAAAGCATGTTTCGAACATCATACGGATCATGATCAGGGGTGATCTTAGGAATCTCAGGGATGCGTAGGATCTTATAGTTGGACGAAGACATCCTGCACCAAGTCACGATGCGCCAAAAGCCGTCAGCGACTCGTTTTTGTCCAAGTTTGCCCAGGTGATGTCAGTCTATGTCTTCCATGGCTGCAGTAGTCATGGTTCCTTCGAATGCGGTTTTTGCATGGTTTTGCCAGTCGAATGAGTCAGACGATATGTGGAAAAGATCTTTGAAAGACTGGAAGACCTGCATGGAAGATCAGCTCTGCAGCCCTCCCTCCGCGATCAAAGACCCTACTCCAATGAGCTACGGAGAAGAGCTCCGTGCGTGAATGCCGCCCAACAACGGCGAACGCAGAGTGGACGAAAAACATGAACTAAATTCTTGGGTCGAACGGAGATTTCATCCTGGTCGCGCAACATGTGGGATATTTTTCTGGAAGTGGGATCTGTCTCTCTTCGGCTGGGTCACTAGGTCCTGGAAAAAGATGATCGGAACGGTGTACCGATTCCTGCTTGGATCGGTCCTGTGTATCTGCTTGGGTCCACCTGTTTCGGAACGTCCACTCCAGGAGTGGCTTCCAACCTTGGAGAAGGCCGTGGCCAAATCCTTTGCATCGCTCCTGTGGGAGGCGAAGAACTCGAAGAGTTCGCCGAAGCTGGGAGTGATGGGATTACATCTGGGATGTAGGTCCGACAGATGTGATTGGTATAATTAGACGTACAGTAATGGTGGGATGTGTACGACATGAGTTGATGCTGATGAACCTGATGTTCGCATGTGTTTCGTGTGTTTTGCTGATGATTTCTTGCAAAATACTCATTGTATCGCATTGTCAATGTAGCTTTGTAGTTTATTTAGATACGCAAAATGGTTTCCAAAAAAGCTCGAGAGTGATTGCAAAGCATTGAGACCACTTCCAAAACGTCACCAAGCAGTGATTTTCAGGATTGTTCCCCGTCAACTCGAGAATTCTGCAAGAAATGGTTGGATCATCTCAAAGACCTACAAAGGGTCTTTGGATCAAGCCAGATGTCCAAGTACTTCTGGACATTAAACGCATGCATATGGCATATGGCATATGCATGTGTATGGGCATGTACAAAATAGAATATGACACAACAAGTGGACACCAAAAAAGGCATTTGGATAAAGAGACAAACTAAACATACATTATATAATATATTGTACACACGTAATTCTACATAAAAAAAAAGATACAAGGATTCATGATTGCACAAAACAAATCGCATTCTTTTTACTTTTTGTGGTGTCCTCCTCGCCGCCCTGCCACAGGTCTCACAGGTCTCGGGGCTTCAGGAGATGGAGACCTGGAGGCGCTTTAAAGAGACACGTCGTCGCAGTTTTATCGTTTTGTTGTGGAAGAGCCATTGGGTTTGATTTGGATGTTGGACGATGAGCCTTTCCTGGCTTTCCTGGATGCTTCAGTCCGATTAGGTGAAGAGTTAATAAGTTTGGAATATGCTGGAATATTGGCCAGGCCTGAGGTCTGAGATTTGTTCATGAGCGGGCATGGTGGTGCGGGCTTTGCTCTACTTGTTTTGTTTGAGGATCCAACTCTAGCTCTCCACACCGAACTTCTAAAAAGCTGTCCATCGAGACTGCCATAGAGTCTATAGCGACTGCTTGCACGGTCCAATCGGACATCTACTTTTCGGAGCAACGTGGTAGCAATACTTTCAGATCACTTCATCATATTTCGGATTTCTGGGTTTGAGGATGTTCCATCGACAGAGTGACGAAGAACAAAGGTGTTTGACGATTTTGGTTCTTCTTCGTGTGCTGAGAGACCGATAGAGACCGCCGGGGGGCGGTAGTGCATCAAGAGTTTGTCTATGTTTGTCTAGAAGAGTTGAGTAGATTTGGTCAAGGGAAAGGACTTTGAATATCAGAAGTGGAAGTACTTCCCAAAAGCAGCTGTTGTGGGGCTGTGTGATTTGATGGTGATACTGACCCCTGCATACCCCTGCCTTACTTATTTATATTGTGGTGGTTAATGATCGTGGACACTCAACTTGAGGATGGTCAATCTCATTTCTGTCATTTGCAACCACCTCTCGCGTTGCAACCCAAGCTTGGGTCCTGCCAACTGTATGTGCAGGGAGAAGGGAAGCCTGGAGCCAAGCCCAGCACAGCGGCCCGTCGAAATGGTGCTTAAGTCGTTTTGGTGTGTTTGAATTGTGGTGTTCCCATGTGGAAACCAGGAAAGCGCGGCTATGCTAGTCCAGTTTGAATAGCTTAGGCAAGTGCAAATAGGACCGTGGCATTCTAGCCGGCACGACTCATCATCCGTGTGCCTTTGCTATAGCTTTTGCGCCTATACACAGCTGCGTTGTGTCAGGAAATTATTTCACCTATAGTATGGTGTGGGAAGTAGAACTTCATGGCAATATTTTTCGTTTTGGCTTATGCCAACTCGCGGATCATGCTGTTCTTAGCGGCTCACAAGATCCGTTGAAAAGCCTCGATTTTTTCTCCCTAGAAAAGTCCCAGTCGAGCACCTACCATTCAGAGCAGATGATTCATCCTGATACAAAACCATAGGCCTTGTGAACATGCTTGGTCGAACACTTCCTTTTCAGCGATCTAGGACTATGAGCCATTCACATTGCAGTCACATAAATGCACAGACTTGTATAGTTCTTCTCATCCTGGCACAGAAATCCCCACATGAACGCCTGTTTGTCGGGGCATGTTGGGCCCCAAACTCAATCTCAATCTCTTGTTACAGGAAGAAAACACCTCCAATCCCAGGCGTACGAGAACAAGGGATGAAGATCTTTGTTGTCTTGGTTGTGGAGATTCATGAGCATTCAAAACAGCCATCCTAAGAAACAAGATCTTGTTACAGTGCTTCCCAGGTGTAGTATTCTTTGGATGACTGCCCAACCCCAGGTCGATGCCCGAGCACGTGGCGGTGACCGCGGAACGCATCCGTTGGACCTCGATGGTGGATGGGCGCTTGGGCTTCAGAGTTGAGTCATTCTGGGGCGGTGTGGACCAAGAAGCTTGTTGGAGGTCCCAAGGGTCCCCAATGGCCAAGGGCCAAGGGGTTGATGGCGAAAAATGTGAGACAAAGAACAGGTACGTGTTTTCCCCACGTCACTGTGGGCTGGGGCGTTGTTTGACCTTCCGAGGGTGGAGATTGCCACGTGATGTTGTCACACCCCTTGTCAAGCTGACAAAAGGCAACCCTTAGACATGCAAACATATCCCATGCTATAACTATATAGTTGGATCACAGTTGTGCTCCACAGGTGTTTCATCTCAGCATTGCCCCCGAAAGAGTGTTCTTCCTCGCAAAATCGCTCCCATCGGAAGCCTGGGGAAGCCGAACTTGCGTAGATCCGTGCGTCCGAAACTGAGGGCCAGTCTGCCAGATGGCATGGACTTCTTAAGCTCTTACGTGGAGCATCGCGTCCGAGAGGAGGCCCGGGTCTTCGGGTCTTGGAAATGTGGTTGGTGCCGGCATCGGCGGCGATGGAGGGGACGAAGGGAAGAACAAATGGGGGTTCGAGAGTGTTGTGATTGGAATGGTTCAAAGAGATGTTAACAGCACAAATCACTAGAAACGTTTGATTTGGTTCATAGATCGCATAGATGGTATTTGGATCAACTGCTCTAGTCGGAAAGGATCACGAATGGTGGACCTGCCCACCAGAAGCGCTGGTGAACCGCGAAGCACCGCAGTGCATCGTTCCTTGTGGAAGATGCTTTTGGAAGGATGCAGTGCATCGCCACACTCTTGGGACTGGTTTTTGGACCGGCAAACATGGTGAGAAACCAATGAAAAGGAATGTCATGGCGGCTAGGGCAACTGAAGGCATTCAATATATAGAAGTTGTAAACATATCCCTCGCAGTTGACCACCGCACGTAGCGAGGTTCTTTTAGGAAACA